CGAGGTATAGCACTCCCTAATATCAAAACCTACTATACAGCTGTAATAACCATAAAAAGCTATGACACACACATAAAACAATGGAACAGAATCGAGAATTCAGAAACTAACGCATCTATCTATGGTCAACTGACATTCAACAAGTTAACAAAACCTGTGAAATGGGTAAGGAACAACCTCTTCAAAAAATGGTTTGACATAAGTGAACTTCTACCTGCAAAAAACTGAGGCAGGACCCTCACCCTCCATCATACACAGAAATAAACTCGAGGGGATCAGAGGCCAAGGGGTAACGCCCAAAAGCATAAAGATCATGAAACATAGTGACACCAAGCTCACAGTTGTAGCAGTGGCAAGGTTTAACAGGGCAGCAAGCAATAAATGTGGAGAAGATGCGGAGAGGTAGGGACTCTCATGAACTGTTGATGGGACTGTAAAATGGTACATTCACTTTACAGTTTGGCATGAAAACAGTTTGACATTTCCTCAAAAAGCTGAACATAGATATTCCATATGACCAGCTATTCCACTGCTAGGAATAAACTGAGAAAATTAGAACTGAGACACAAACAGAGGTTTGTACACCAGTGTTCATTGCAGTGTTATTTACCATCTTAAGAACATGGAAATGGCCCAAATGTCCAACCACAATTGAATGGATTGAGAAATTGTGGTGCATTCACACAATAGAATACTACGCAGCACACAGGAGAAGTGATTTAAAAAAATTACTAACATAACTTTGGAGGGACTGGAAAGTATTATGCTGAGTGAACTAACTCAGGCTTATAAGGACAAATACTGCATAAGATCATTATTGTAGAAATAGATAATCAATAGAATGTGTATAAAGACCCAAGAGGGGAGCTTGAGAGCAGAGGGGTGAGGATGGGCAGGAGGAGAACCATAGGATTGCTATTTGGTGGGTGGAGGAGGGGAGTATGTAAAAGAGGGAAAGACAGTATTGGTGGGCATAGTACAACGATGATTAATTTTATAAAACATAATGAATGGGAATGGTTGTAAAAACTATGAATAAAGTATAGTGTGAAACACAATATGTACAAACTTTGTGAGGAAACAAATATGAAATAAAAAAGCAAGTTCTAATCTACCACAAAGAACAATGAAAAAAATCTCTTCCTATGTAGTTTATAGCCTCTGGAGAGTTAATTATCAGTTACTCTCAATCGATAGCAATAAATTTTATGTATGAGGAGCTTTAATTCATTATACAGATTCCCACTCTTCTCAATGTTAGCCATAATTTCTTAGGATCCACACAGTCAAATGCCTAAATGCCTTTACATACTTAATAAAACACAAATAGACATTCTTCTGTTACCCTCTGCCTTCAGCCAGGATCCATCTGACATCAGCAATAATATCCTGGCCTCTTCTAAACCCAGCTTGAACTTTTGGCCATTCTTTATCAATGTCCTGTTCTAGTCATTTTTTGGATAAGCTTTTGCTTGCATGCAATTATAATGAAATTGCTTGAGCAAGATGATAAATGTTGGAAAACTTTAGTTTTGGTAATATAAAGCAATGGCAAATTTGGTAGGACTTGGTGTATATTTTTGGCCTATTATTGTTGTCGTGTGTCGTTGGGTTGGAACCGACCCATAGCTGACCCTCCAGTAGGTTGTCAGAGGCAGTAAACTGTAGGAGAGGAGACAGGTCATCTTTCTCCTGCAGAGCAGCCAGTGAATTTGAACCACATGCCTTTGAGTTGGCAGGGTAGGCCACCAGAGCTCCCCACTCTTTGACCTAAATCAGTAGGAATGATTTAGGCCTAATAAAATAGCAATGGATTAGAAATTAAACCACAGTGACCTTCCAAGTCACACACTACTTACCCTGTGGCTTTTGTACTGGTGTCCGGGAACCATTAATGGGCGTTCTTTTACTGCTCTTGGCAAGATAAATAACTCGTCCAAATCCTTATACTGTCAGTGGTCAAGTGTGAGTTGGCTAAAATGATACTAAGTCCTCTTTTTGTTAACAATATTAGATCATAAGAAAACTACTACCAAGGCGTTCATGACTTTAGTAGGTTAAGAAAAGGACTAGAAGATGTCATTTTCTTTTTTATGAAAAAGAGCATCATTGCAAGATCTTTATGTTCACATCCCCTAAAAGCATGTTGTTGTTGTTGTTAAGTGCCGTCGAGTCGCAGGCAACTCCTAGGGACCCTATGAAGGAGAGTCCTCAACGCTTGGGTGCCTCTCTTCCTCTCTCCAGGTTCATAGGGTTTCCGGAGGCAACCTATTATGGAAGTGGATGCCACTCCTCCTTCCAAGCTTGTTTTAATTGGGGAGCTCCACCCCACTCTCTGTCCACATTGGGTAGGCAATCGTTAATACGTTTGACACATGAAGGACTACTCTGCCTCCAGGAGCCAGGCAAGCCAGGTTTGGCCTAGGGTTTAAGGCGGCAGCACAGGGCTTCAAGCCCAAAAGGGACCTCGGGCCAGTCTTTCATTTTTTCTGTTCAGTCATACCTCTGGGTCATATAGCCCTGGTGTACAAGTTGCCATCCTGTGTTCACTCTTTGTTGCTGTGAGGCTGAACACTGTGACAGTGATGTGTCAAATGCGTTAATGATTGGCTACCCAATGCGGACAGAGTTAAAAGCATGCAGCAGAGTATAATAAGGAGGATGCCAGCTGCCTGCACGCCCCAAGGATGGACAGTCTCCTCCCTTGTGATTTACTATTTCTGAAAACTCACTGGAGGGTCGGCTACGCTCAACAATTCACAACAACAATGACAATATACCAAAGAATCCCCACCAATCCCTGACTCTCTTTCTTCTTCCGTTGTTACTGGTAAGTAGAGAGCAAAGGTTGTACCTTGGATGACCACTTAAGCTTTAAGATCCTAGGCTCTGTGCAATCAGGTAAGAAAGTAGAAGAGAAACACTAGATACGCCAAGTTCATTGACTTGGATGTCTCCTAAAACTATGAGCCTTAATCTCCAAACCAAGGAACCCACCAGACATTTAGTGGCACATAAAGTCTCAATAGAGGCTCTTTTTTGGTTGTCATGGTAAATGTATATATGACACACCACTTTTACCAATTCATCTTTTTACATTCATTACAATAATTTACTGTACAACTCTACCTTTAATCAATGTGATCTTCCCAACAACATAAGGTGAAATTGTAATCAATAATAAAAACAAAATTTACCTTTAAAAAAAAATACAGTTGATGACAATAACTTCAGAAAACACACACAACCCCTCCCCCTCCAAGTTAATCTCATGAAGTAATAATGTCCAAATGGTAGAGACTTATTCCGTCAACCCAAAGTCAGATGGTTCAGGTCGACCAGTTCTCTGCAGGAGAAGGATAGGCACTCTGCAGTTTGCCAATTTTAAGCCTGTGACAACCCACTGGACAGTTAGTTTACAACTAGAGAACGCACAACAGCATCCACAACCATTACATTGTGAGCTCTGGTGGCCTAATGGCAAGGAGTTGAGTTGCCTTCTCAAAGACATGCAGTTCACATCCACCAGCTGCTCCACAGGAGAAAGACGGGCAGTGGCCTTCTGTGAACTTACAGCCTCTGGAATCCTGCTACCGGAAGGTCTGACTCAATGAGAGTGGTTTGAGCTTTGCTTTTTTTTTTAGCTTATTACCTTTTAAAGGAAATGTACAAGCACTAACGAAGTGTACAGATTATTAATGCAGATACTAACTTGAGATTTAACAATTAAGTCCACACCCTGTGGAATAGTTACAAAGGCACTTGTCTTGCTTGAACTTGCAAAATTATTTGTAGACTTCAAGCCTTCTGGTAAATTTTATAAGCATTTCTTTTCACCTAATCTCTTGCTTCTTCCTTTGCTTTGCATTTTTAAAATATAATTTACATTTTACATCTTACACAAAGCCGTGTTTTTAAAGACTTTAGTTTTGACTGAAAAAAAAATCTGAGAAGAATGTCTTCGGGGAAATAACCAAGCCACACTTGATGGGAATTACTACCTGCAGATCTTGTGTAATATTTCTCTGAAATCAGATCATCCAAACCAGCCCCACTTGAATCTAAATCTTTTCTTCACTCCTGACATAATAATATATTTCAGGTGACAAACATGACAGTAATGTTTGCACCGAAAGAAAATGGTCTCATTTTCTTCGGAAAACCCACTTAGAATTATAATGTTGGAGCATCAAAGCATGGTGGGCGAGGGAGAGCCAGAGAAACTTCTCTGTTGTTCTGAGGGTGGAAACCTAAACTTCCCCTCTGCTGCTTCCAAAAATAAGATCTCTCCAAATTAATGTTTTCTAAGTACATCAGATGGATAAAGATATATAGATCAGTAAGGGTGCAGAAGTAATTCTGAGGACTCATTTAACTTTGTTGTTGAAAATTTAAAATTTAAATCTGGGTTTTTTTAACCCTCAAGATATATTTACTTTCTATTAGACCTTTTAGGTGCCAACCTGCAATCTTAAAATAAGATGCAGTTTATAGTAAACTTAGTATCTTCCCTCATTTTTCTGATGGAGAGATGGATATTTGTGGAGCTAAGCCAAGTGGTTATAGGAAACTGGTTTTAGTACATTGATTTTATTATACACACAAGGAGAAGTCAACTCAAGCTTACACACCTCACCACACAAAGGCAACACCCACCTTGTTCTGGAATTTACGCAAGTTTACCAGAAAGAGCAGTTACACAACACTTGGTCCTGACTGCCATCCGCTGGTGCACAGTAGAAGTACAGATCTTAAGAGTTGGAGATCTTTAGAAATAAGTAGGAGCTCAGGTGGTGTAGCAAGTCAAGACTTGCTCTGTCAACTCAGAAGGGGGTGGTTCAAATCCACCAGCTGAGCTGAGGGGTTAAAGATGGGCATTCTTGTCCTGTGCAATTTGTAGTCTCTGAAAACCTGCCGGAGGGTCAGCTGTGAGTTTGTCCAACCTGACAGCCGCGGATTTTTTGAGCAATAGTTAGAACTGGTGAACTTTCTCTTTCCAGAGCCTCCTCGCTGGACAAAGAAACCCGAGAGTGCTGTGTACAGCACGGGGAGCAGTGGCATTTTGAGATGTGAGGCCGAGGGAGAACCCCAGCCCACAATCAAGTGGAAAGTGAACGGCGCCCCTTATGAGAGTAAGTGACCCTGGAGGCGAGGGTTTGCTGAGATCTTTGCTGTCGGGCAAGACGTGCTTGTGCACAGTGCGCTTGGGAAGTGTCTGAATCAAGGCAGCACTGAGAAAACCAGGAAATCAGAATTGCCTCTAAATAATGCAGTCCTCGTGGTTTAATGCTCATTGAAGAGCCAGAAGTGGTGCCTGTGTACTGGCCTAGGCGGTACTAAAAATGATATTAAAGCTGTTTAAAAAATATAATTCACATCTCTCTGCTTGCAGCCTCTCCCACCCCTCCTGGATCCTTATGCTCATTCTATAGTAACAGTTTTATACAGTATTTATCATTGTGGCTGGAAGCAGAGGGATGTGGATGTGCAGGGGGGATTAATCATCGGGTTGTACAATTTGATGGGTGCGGGGGTGAAGGAAATTGAAAGAATGTGTTTGAATTTGTATTCAAGGTTTGTAAATAAACTAGTAGAGAAAAAAATAAATACAGCAGATTTTAAATAAAAAAAATCTTAAAAACACATAATTCAAATGACTGTAAGAGAATGAGTCAAAAAGAACAGTCAGCTGTTTTTCTTCTTCCCTGAGAAGAGATAGGAGCAGTGACAGGCTCTTTGAGAGTGGACACTTCATTTAGACTAAGGCATCTGTGACCAGGCGCCAGCCTCCCCTCCCTGGGTCCCGCCTTTAAGAGCCTAAGCTCTAGCTACCTTCTGAGCATTCCGGAGTCCATGGGAGTGCAAATCTCTGGATGCCGTGATGTGGACACCAGTGGGCTTGCTGTGCCCTGCCCGTTTTCTAGATCACGGGAGACGAGGGAATTCCCACTCTCCTTCGGCTTTGAGCTCACACCAGCTGGCCAGGGATTAGGGCTGGACCAGGGCTGAGGGTCGCTCTCCCTCTCCCTCCTTTTCCAGCCTAAACCCCCAAGGAATCCAGAAATTCCGCCTGTGGGGGTAGAATTGAGATAATTTTCATGTATTCATTCAGGTAGTAGCTGTTAATTGTCATCAAGTTGATTCCGATTCCGGGTCATTTTGCTTGTACGAGAAAAGAGTTCCATCACATTTTCCAAGCTGCTGCGACCTTTGGAAGCACACTGTCCCTCACCGGCCTGTGGCGGGATCCAGCACTCCAGTGTCTGAGCCAGCAGTTAGGGACCTCGCCATTCTCCCTGCTTACTTACACACATGGGCTCAGGTCACTTGCAATGTGTTTGTTGAGGACGGAGGTTGGCGATGCTGTTGGAGTCAGCTCCATCTCGTTGACATCACACTGTGGAGGACAGAAGGACACTGTCCAGTCCTGTGCCATCTCGCAGTGGCTGGCACGTTCGATCCCGTCATTACAGCCCTGGGGTCAGCCCATCTCAGGGTATGTCTTCTTTCCTGTTGATCTCTCTACTTCACCAGTTATCCATCTCTCAGCACTGGCCTTTCCTATGAACATTTCTAAAATTAGGAGACAGAGTTTGGTCACCCAAGGAGTAGTCTTGTGTCCACTTTTTCCAAGGAAGCTTGGCTTGCTGTTTGCCAGTTGAAGGGACAGTCAGTATTTTTCACCAACATCACAGTTTTTCTTTGGCTTTTCTTATTCATCCTCTGACTTCCACACGTGAGGCCATCGGAAATAGAAATAGCACGGTATATGCATCTGTTGCACTTTAATCCTCACCTCTGGAGCAGCATACTTGCCCGTTGAGGAGCTCAGGTCAGGGTATTAACCGTATTTAGACGCGCACACACAGGTTCCATCTGCTCCCGTGCCCTGGACTCATCCATGCCAAGCGCACGTGCTTTCAGGTGGCCCGCGGACCTGGGCACTGTCTGCACTCTGCTCCTTCCCAGCTGTGAGTTTCAGCTCTTTAGTGACTGTCTTCTACCTGTGGTTATTGGATGGTAAAACAAGGCTAATGTTTGTGATAACCGTTGAACCACCTGGAAAACATCTCATTTGCCTCTTGAACTTGCAGTTGGACTGTCCTTGCTGTGTTCTACCTCTCCGTGCACTCGCTGTGCATCCGGGCACATCACACAAACTCTTACCATAGTATCCTCATCACTAAAATGGGAATGAAAGCAGCATCTACTGATGAGTTAGATATTTTTATGTGAAGGATGCAAAACACTCCTCAGAAGCCATTCTACAGGCAAACGCTCCCAAATGTTGTTATTACAGTTTTCCAGAAATCTCAGTAAGACCTCTTAAGAGTACTGAAGAGCAATGACATCAGGCTGGAGACTAAGGTGTGCCTGATCTGGGCTATAGTCTTTGCAATTATGTGCTATGCATCAGAGAGTTGGACAGTGAATAGGGATGATAGAAAGAGAATTGATGCCTTTGAGCTGTGGTGCTGGAGAAGAGTGTTGAATATATATACCATGGACTGCTAGGAGAACAAACAGGTTTGTCCTGGAGAAGGTGAAGCCGGAATGCTCCTTGGAGTCAAGGATTCTGAAACACCGTCTGACATATCTTGGGCATGTTGCAAGGAGGGACTGGTCCTTGCAGAGGGACATCATGTTTGGCACGGTGGAAAGATGGTTCAGGAGAAGACCTTCGATGAGATGGATCAATTCTGTGAGTAGTGTGGTGGGAATAAAGACATTTGAGATGGCTAGGTTGGCACAGGGTAGAACAGCGTTTAGAGCTCTGTACATAGGGTCGCTATGAGTCGCAAGCGACTCAATGGCACATTACAACAACAAGAAGTCATGTCTTCAACTATGGAACTTTGTCCACATCTCTTTAGAGAACAGAGAAAATTGAAGCTTTAGTGAAATATAAATTTTGTTTGTAAAAATCACTAAGGATGCTATAAAAAGAAATGAAGGTTTTCAGAGAACAAAAAGTCGTAGCGTTGTTATTTGAAGGTTATTTAAGTTTTATGAAGGACATTTATGAGTGATGTTGGACCACTTGCAAAAGGAGCTGTTACTCTTCCTATTTTAATAGGCCAGTCAGTACATATTTATCGAGTGCCCCCTAGTGCTGATTGCATGGAATATGGCAGTGTATGAAAAGCATGAAAATCCGGTCTCTCCTGGAGCTGGTGTTCCAGTGGAGAGAAGCGAGGCAATAGAACCGTGCCCTGCAATGTGTGCTGCCGGGAAGAAGGTAGAACATAGCCGGGCGGCTGTTGTTAATTTTGACCTTTGACTCATTTTTCACTTGCAATGGCTGCACATGATGGAGCGGAACTGCCCCAGAGGGTCTCTTGGCCATAATATTTTTGGAAGCAGACCAACAGGAGCCAATGGTGGGTTCACATCACCAATCTTTCGTTTAGTGGCACATAACCATTTGTGTTCCCAAGACTCCTTAAAAGGAGGATATTAGAGAAGAGGTTCAAGGCCAAGGCTTACCATCTTACATTAAGATAACATAGTGAGGCTTTCTGGTGCCTCACCATTGAGTGGGAACCTGAAGAAGATGAGGTAGAGGTCACCCGTACAACTATGCCTGGATGAACATTCAGGCTGCCAGGTTAGTGAGTGCCAAGACCTCCAGTGTTTAGCTTGTTTGAGAAAAAGCAAGGAGCCAGCTGTAGCCAGAGCAGACACAGGAGAGGAGAGCGCTGGGGGACAGGATCAGTGAGGAGAAAAGCACACGCTGTCTGCAACCCTGAGGGTCCACGTAGGATCTTTAGATTTTACTACTGAAGATATTTCTGCTCCTTGAAGGGTGTCGAGTCAAAGAATGGCCTGATGTGTCTTACATTTTAGAAGAGGATAGTTCTGGTCTCTCTGGAGAATCAAGTACCTACAAGAGGAGGAGGACGTAAGCAGGGGGACCAGGTAGGAGGTTGCCTAAACCCACCAGGGTGAGGAAGAGGCTGGTGAGAAGGAGAAGTTGGGGTTTGGATTATTTCAATAGTAGACTGAATATTATTTTTCTTCAAACATTCTTCTAAGTGGTATAGCACTGGTATGTCCATTTGCTGCACAGAGGTAACTCGTGGTTGCTGTGAAGCTGAACACTGTGACACTGATGTGTCAAATGTGATAATGGTTACCCATGGTGGACCGTGTTTGGTGGAGCTTCTTGATTAAAACAAGCTTGGAAGCAGGAGTGGCATCCACTTTCGAAATGGCTTATCTCCGGAAACTCCATGAATGTGGAGAAATGACCAAAGATATGCAAGTGTTCAGGTCTTTCATTCGTAGGGTCGCTATGAGTTATCTATGACTTGATGACAACAACAGAGTGAATATATGTATTGATGGAGGAGAAGTTTGAAGCTGAAAATAGACTTATGGAAGGAAGACAGCAAAGCTGCCTCGGGGTGATTCTCCTAGAGACAAAATCCAAAGTCTGCATTCTTTTCATAGTTCAGAACTGCAGCTTTGATGGTTTGGATTTGGATTGAACTCCATCCCCCCTTACCCTTCTCTAAAAAGATGTTTAAGGTCTAAACCCAGGTAGTTATAAGCATGACCTTGCCTGAAAATTAGATCTTTGATATTGTTACCAGGTACTTTATCACCAGGTCACATGGGGGAACACGGATCTTGTTCCCATCTCAGTGATAATCCTTATAAAAGAGGAAAACTGATAGACACACATGCAGAGGGATGGCAGCCATGTGAAGACGCATCTCTGAAAAACAATGCCAAGGAGGTCTGGGCTACGGGAAGGGGGTTGGCAACCATGTGAAGATGCTTCTTTGAACCGAACAATGCCAAGGAATGTCTGGGCTACGGGAAGGGCGTTGGCAACCATGTGAAGATGCTTCTTTGAACCGAACAATGCCAAGGAATGTCTGGGCTACGGGAAGGGCGTTGGCAACCACGGCTCTTCCCTTGAGCTACAGAAAGATCCTGGTGGTGCCAGTGCTCTGAACTCAGACCTGTGGCCTCCAGAGCTGGGTGACGAGATATTTCTTCTCTGCAAGCCATGCTCTTGATGGTATTTTGTGTGTATTTTGTATGTTAGCCTTAGAAATCTAATTCACCTTGGTTCACCCATACACAAGTCATCACCATTCATCGGCTGGAGTGTTTTATGGCAGTGGGCTGACCAGAGAATGCGGAATCTAAGTTAAGTCAAAGTCCTAATTGGGATATGTCCTGTATACAGTTGCAGTTGAGAATTAAAGTAGATCACTCTTTTTTGAGAAGTCACCATGTCTCACGTGCAGTTCTTTCAGTATTACTAAGCGTGCTAGCAGGGTTGCAAAAGCAATTAAGAAAACAAAACAAACCCGCCAACTCATTGCCATCGCGTTGGAACCAACCATCCAGGGGGGTTTCAGGAGGCTGGCGTCACGTGGGAGGGGCTGGCCCCTCTTTGCCTGGAGGAGCAGCTGGCCGATGTGAATGACCAGAGAAGTACCACCTTTGAAAACAGCTCAAGTCCCTGAACACTAGACCACCAGTGCCCTTCATTTTTTTTTTTTTTTGGTCTTTATATATAAACTCAAACCCTAATGGTTTAGTGGCAAAGAGTTTTACTGTCAACCCCAAAATTCATGATTCTAGTCTACCAGCTGCTCCGCGGGAAAAGATGGGAAATCTCCTCCTGTGTAATTTACTGCCTCTGAAAACTCACTGGAGGGTCAGCTATGGGTTGATTCCGACTTAGTGGCACACAACAACAATATATAAACTAAAAAAATGGGGCCCTTTGTAAAGGAGCCCTGGTGACATGGTGATTTGAGCCCCACCACTGCTCTGTGGAAGGACAAAGTGACAGTCTGCTCCTGAAAAGACACTTGTTTTTGTCGTTGTTGTGTGCCAGTGGGTTTTCAGAGACAGTGAATCGCAGGGAAGGTGATTGTCCATCCTCCTCTGAAAGTATCAGCGGGTAGCCTCAAACCACATGCCTTCAGGATTGCAGGCAGCTTCTTACCACTAGGCCACCAGGGCTCCTTTCTATAGCCTTAAATATTCATTTGATGAAAGAACTGGAAACTAGTCACCAAAAGGGTTGCAAGGGAAAAAAAAATTCATAGTTGACATGAAAGAATTCTAAGAAATTGGCTTACATTAACTATTTTTCACTCTAAACTGGCCTTAAAATATAAATAGTGTATGACACGTTGGATATATTGTCCATGAATATTTCATGTTTTTGTACTTACAGAATGACATTCTTTAATCCTTTCAGATCATCCATTTGCTGGTGATGTGATCTTCCCCAGTGAAATCAGTTTTACCAACGTCCAGCCGAACCACACTGCCGTGTTCCAGTGTGAGGCCTCGAACACGCACGGCACCATCCTCGCCAATGCCAACATCAACGTTGTCGGTGAGCACCCCTCCAAGGCTGACTGGCAACCTGCTCTTTGAAAGGAACTGGTCAAGGTCAAGTTCAAACACAGATCAAATTCATGATGCGTGAGCCTCGGAGGAGAATCAAAGCACCTTCCACACAACCACGTTCTCCCCTAAAACGGAACTTCCAGAAATGAATTCCATTTGGATACCTTTCTAACTTAAGAATATGTTCTGTAATATTAGCTGTGCTCTGCTCTTCCTAGCATTAATATGGATGAGACTTAAAATAATTTCATTTGCAAATATTATTTCTTCCATGACTGTTTAAAGCTACATTTATATTCCTTCTGAACAGATGTTCGCCCTCTGATCCAAACTGCAGACGGGGAAAGCTACGCGGCCGTGGTCGGCTACAGCGCTTTCTTGCACTGCGAGTTCTTTGCGTCACCGGAGGCCATAGTGACCTGGTAAGTGACGCCGTTTCCCTTGGGGAACAGCCACCCTTCTTCTTCAGCCATCAGCTGCGTGGGGTCTGTGGTGGGACAGTGTCTGTGTGAGCATCAAGTGTTGAGCCATGCCTGACACTGCGGGGAGTTTTGCAACGCAGTAAATTGCAGAGGAGGAGACTGCCCCTCTTTTTACATGGAGCAGTTGGTGAATTTGAACCACCTGCCTTTGGGTTGGCAGTGCACCTCCTTCCCACTAAGCCACCAGAGCTTTGTAGCAAACACAGTGGCTTAAACCTCCAGGAAGCAATGACTTATTGCTACACTTTTCTCAAGTGGAAACATGTAGAGAGCTGCTTCTGCTCAGATGAGGAAGCATAGATTTGTAGTGATAACGAAGAAAATTTAAAATATTAATCCCCCGCAATTCTGTGGATAGAGAAAGTTATTCACAACTATATTATTATTGTTTTGCGACCAAAGAATATACAAGCCTGCATGTAATTCCAAATACATATGATATGCTTAAAAGTTTTCAACACCCATGTTGATTTTGAAGAATTGATGTATTGATTTCCATAGTAAGTTCGAACACATTGTTATACACATGTTCTGAGGGGATGAAACCAGACTGCTTCTTGGAGACAAGGATTTTGAAGCTCTGTCTGACATACTTATGGCATATTGCAAGAAGGGGCAAGTTCTGGGAGAGGAACATCCTACTTGAAAAGGTAGAGGGATGGCACAAGAGAAGAAGACCCTGATAGATTTCTGATACCTCTTCAGATTTCACCTCTGATTCAAGTGGCATATGCAGTGTGGGCGACAGTCGCATTTGTCCTCCACAGTTTTTAACTCCAGTCATCACTGGTGACAAATTTGTGGTGTAGATCGGGCAGCAAGCACTCGGGAAATGGATGAAAGTGGGAGAAAATTACTGTGAAGTTGATCAGGGTGAATGTATGCTGTATCCACAGGACATGGGCGACTTCCTGGATGGTAATATTTCTCAGTGACCAATGTTCTCCCGGACAGAAGGAGTTCTGAGGGTTTATTATCTCTTTCAATTACTAGCTTTTCCATTTAGTACCTGGGAGCGGTCATTTACTTAAGAGTCCACCATCAATAAGCTTGGCAAGTACTTATTAAACTCTGGGGACAGATGCAAACCAGTGCTAAATGCTGAGAGAAATCAAGCAGAAGACGTGAGTGTTGCTCCAAGCTTCTGCTAGCCACAGTCTAGTGGAGTAGATAAGATAGATAAACTTATGGCCTATTTTGAAAAAAAAAAATGCAAACTCTGTGGAATCTTTTATAAGATCGTCTAAGCTTCTGATTGAGAAAGATTGAGGTTGTTAACAATTTCATCTTGTTTGGATCCACATTCAACTCTCTTGGCACCAGCAAGTAGAAATCAAAAGACAAGTTGCTTTAGGAAAGTTTGCTCTCAGGGATATCTTTAGAGTGCTAAAGAGCAGTGATATCAGTCTAGAGACTAAGGTGCGCCTGATCCACGCCATGGTCTCTCAATGGCTTGCTATGCATCTGAGGCTTGGGTAGTGACTAAGTACGGTTGAAGAAGAATCAATGCCTTTGAGTTGTGGTGCTAGAGAGAGAATTGAATGTACCATGGATTTCCAAGTGAACAAAACCATTTTTTCCTAGAGAGGATAAAACCAGGTTACTTCTTGGAGGCAAAGATCTTAAAGCTCTGTCTCACACACTTTGGGCATGTTGCTAGGAAGTACTAGACCTTGGAGAAGGGCATCATGCTCAGAGGGTAGAGGGACAGCAAAGGAGAGGAAGACCATGAATGAGATGGTTTGACATTGTGGGATCAGGTTTGTCAAGAGAGGATAATGTCAGCTCAGGATAGGGCAAGAGCCATGGTTCATAGAGTCACGTGATTCATAGTCAGCTTGACAGCACATAACAGCTACAAGCTTCTGGAAAAGGTGCTAGTTTGAGTGACACCAGGACCCAGAGTATAGAATTCTGTCACCCTCCACACTATTGTGTGCTGTCTCCCTCCACACTGATGTGTGCTGTCTCCCTCCACACTGATGTGTGCTGTCTCCCTCCACAGGCAGAAGGTGGATGAAGTGAAACCCCTTGAGGGCAAACGGTACTTTATCCATGAAAATGGCACATTTCAGATCAGCAAGACCACGGAAGAAGATGCGGGGTCCTACTCTTGTTGGGTAGAAAATGCGAAAGGAAAAACTGCTCTCACCGCCAACTTGGATATTAGAAGTAATCTTATTTGTATTTTTCATGGATTATCATAGATGTTTCCGAGGCATGTTATTTAGAAAGTGGATGTCACTCCTGTATGTGTGTGTGTGCGCGCGCGTATATGTGTAAATATGTGTGTACACATATATAGGTGCATATATACATATATGTGTATGTATGTATATACATATGTGTGTATACATTTATCTGTGCATATATACATATATGTGTATGTATATATACATGTTTGTGTGTGTGTGTGTAAAGAATACTTGACTCTATTTACCTACTAAGTCATCAGGTGTGCCAGCCGGTGGGCTACATATTTACGGTCCATAAGTATTCTCCCAGGATGCCAGTTTAGCTCTAATTTCTCACTGCATTTTTAAAATGTAAAAATTTCAGAATGTCTTATAAGCTTAGTGAGGCTAATTTGTTTTATGCAACAAGAAGTTAGAAATCAAGCAAACCCTAAACTAACCTAGTCAAGGTCAAGGAACTCAGGAAGGGTCTTAAGAAACAACAGTGAAAAGCTCCATGATTGTGGCAAAATGGGTTTCAAATTATGAATATAGTTGGTGACTTTATGGCCAGATGGATGGGACTTGTCGATTGTCTAGGAATTATATCAGTGGAAGATTAAGGGCATCATTATTTCCTATAAAGAAAATAATATTAAAATAAAGTTGTTTATGGCTCTGTAGCCCATTGATTAATAACATGAGCGTCCATTCTACCAGGTCTAGTTCAAATCTTGGCACAGTCCTCTCTGAGTGACGAAATCCGGGCTAATCCCAAATTGCATTTCACCTTAAAGGTTCCTCCTCTGAAAGTTAGGGATGGTGTTCATAGCATTGCTGCTACGTTCATAACACTGTTCAGAACACAATGTCGCCTTGGATGTGAACTTGTTAGTCTATAGTAGCAGAGCTTCATAAATGTTGTTATTGGGTTGATATCTGACTTTAAAATTTAGATTTAGAATTACTAATAATTCACTTAAAACAAACTGTAATATCCTCTGGAAGTTTTGTTTCTGGGATACTGAACAACCAATTTCACTAAACCCTTAGATTTATTCAGTTGCTTGAGTAGTAAGTGGTTGGAAGACCTTAAAATTGAATTGAAGAATTGGAAGTGAGGTCTTGTGTGGATTTGGCCCCTGGAACAGTCTCCACGTGCTCCTTGGAGTAGTTCTACCTGTCATAGTCTTTCTGATGACGCTTGATAAGACACTGATGAGTCTTCAACATGATGTGCTGCATCGGCAGGGTTTTATTTTTAAATAATACTATGAACAAAATGAGAAAAAGAATTGTATCCTTTTTATCAATTAGAGCCACTGATTTGCTTACAAGTTGCTTTCTTCTTCTTACCCAGGAAGTAGTGAGGTGAATTGCTAAACTGTTTCCACCTTAACAATGTATTCAATTTGCAACAAGCTACAACATCTGCAATTACAGTTATATGCATTTTATTGTCAGTGCCATGTTCTGCCTGCAGGGTTTTGGTGCCTAATTTGCTGATAATATCATATCTCTGAATTTATGTGTAATGTTCCCAATTCACAAAGACAGATAAAGGTCAATTTGTGAAGATACTGATGATAATAAAAGGCAATGAAAAGAAAAACTAGAGTGAGGTCAGAGGTATTCTACTTGATCAGAACCAATTTAGGACAGAGTTGTGAATGGAACTCCATGGTCAACTGGGGACCACCTGTGATTCATCCTTTCTCCCAGCACTTGTCAGCTACCCAAATGTGAATGGAAAGAAAATAATGATGATATATGATAGAAAATTGCAGTGCAATAAACACTGTCAGGATTTGGTGATTATGTTGACAGTTTGGCTTAATTAAAATCGCAGATACTTGATTGCAAAGTAAGGTGCTTTCTGAAGTTCTGACTAACACACTTGTTTGGTAAAAACAGATGCTACAAAACTTCGAATTTCTCCTAAGAATCCCCGCGTGCCCAGATCGCATACACTTGAATTACACTGTGAGGGCGTGTGTGACCCGTATTTGAGACACAGTCTGAGGTTGTCTTGGAGCAAGGATGGAGATGCCTTTCAAATCAATGGCACAGAAGACGGCAGGCAAGTAAACAGGTGGAGGTAACCTAGGATTTTGTGGGATTACACGTCCTAAAAATGTTCACTTTCTATTAAAATACAAAATTGACTCGTGTTTGGGTCTTTACATCACCTCTGAAAATGTTGTACCGTGCACTTGTTTCTCGTTTCTACCAAATGCTTATTTTGCTTGAGAACTGACTTTTAATATGATGGGCATCAGGGTTTTGTAAGGAGCCCTAGTGACTCGATGATTAACTAGAGTAAGCAGATCAGAGGCACCAGCCACCTCACAGGAGAGAAGAACTGGAGATCTCTCTTCCTGTAAGAGTTCAGCTTACCAAGCCCCAGTGGGTCGGATCCACTCTGCCTGGATAGGTCGCCAGCTGTGTTTCTGAAGCCGTAAAGCTGTCAGTGAGCCGACTGCTTTGGCTTTGTTTCTTGTCTGGATAACTAGTGGGTTCCATGTGCTGACCTTCTGGTTAACAGCTCAGTGCCTAAGCCAGTTGGGTGGTTTCAACCCTTTGATTGTGTGGCTATCCCTGCAATAAAGGTGGGAGTGTTTTTCTTTGGGAATGTACCTAAGAGTGTGATTGCTTGGTCTAATGGTACAACACTCTCAAAGTTCTAATCAAGTGCTGGACTGTCTTTCCCCCAGGCACGCACTGTTTTACACTCCCATTAACGTGTAAAAGTGTTCTAATCTCTCCACAGCCTCACTCACCATCACTTGTAGTTAGATATCTTAGTGAAGATGGCTGAAAAGACTGAATCTGTGTTAGCTATTCTGATTCTAGCACTCCTTTCTCCAGCCTGATCTACCTGTTCTACTTGTGTGTGTGTGTGCGTGGGTGTGTGTGATGCTTGTACTAACACTGGTCTCTATCTTGCCACTGGTTTCTCTCCTCCCCTCTTTTCTTACACCCACATAAAGCTTTGTGGAAAGGCAGCATTTGTATTATAACCAGTTCTCACTGAAATAAGAGGAGGTTAATGACAGAGCAAAGGCTGCGTGTTACACCAGAGATGTCACCCGCCCAGGGTTGGGTCTTGGTTGGTCTGTCGGCCGGCCAGGCCGCTCAGGACTCCCACTTCGCTCTATGTCTTGTCACTGCAGCCTGGTTATCTGGGTTGCCATTGTAGCTGTGGACAGTAACCATAAAGATAATGAGAGATTCACATGTCCTGTTGGTCATTATTGCTATTGATTGCCTTCAAGTCGAGCATGACTCATAGTGACCCCATCAACAAAAGGCCTGAAGCCTGACATTTATCAAAGTTCATAGAGTTTCCAGAGGCATTTGGTGTAGGAAGTGAATGCCACTCCTGTATGAGACACATATTTTAACCCAGGTCTTGGAAACTCCATCCTGCCTCTTTGGAGGTCCAAATCTTACTATCTTGCAGGCTGCAGGGCTGACACTCGAATGAGTCCTGACCATCTTAGTGGACTGAGTCTGTGTTGTAAATATTCTCACATTTTCTCCTTCAGTCCAGGTGATGGGCCTCCAAGGACAGGAGAAAACTCTAGCCCCGTTGAGTGTGACTTGAATGTCTGCACTGACTGTGATAAGCTTGGCCATAGAGCAAAGGTGTGAGATCAGCTGTGTGCTAAGTTTCTAGAGAAACTTAGAAACATCTGTTAGCTTCTATTTGTCAACTCCTCCTGGAATATCTTCGTTGTCTGAGGAATAGAAGTGTACACAGAAAGAGGTGAAATATCTAATCAGTAAGTGGAACCGCTAAGGACAGCTGCTTCCTGTCCTTCCTGCCCCCTCTCATGGGGTAGCTGTGGGCTGCGTGCTGGAAGCTGGAAGCTGCCTTTCTGGGTCTTGAGGTTCTCTAGATGCTGCATGTTCCACTGGTTCTTCCCACACACATTCCCTTAGGAGTCTCACAACAAACCAAGAGAAGTTACAGTGAGGAAGATCTGGCTGGACGCTGGCCTGCTCTGCCTTTGTGGCCTCTGTGGCTGTGGTGGTTTTGAGTATGGATCCAATAGCCACGTTTAAAGGGCCTGGAGGTTTTCAATCATGGGGCCTTGTGGAAAGGAAGCCCTGGTGCTTTAGTCAAAAGGAGTGGCACCTCAAAGGCAGGTGGTTCAAATCTACCCACTGGTGGGGGCAGAAATTGGTACAGTCTCCTTTCAGGTGATTAGGGTCAGCTAGAAGTCAGTTTCTATTTGACAGCACATAACAGTATAACAGGTCATATAAGAAGATGAGTGATCAAACAGACTTTGCATTCAGTATGTTGATACTGATGCGTTGGAGGGCTGTTGCCAAATACCTCTTTGTTAAACACATGAATGCCACTTATGTCACTTAAAAATTAAAGTACTTCAGACCCGAGTCATGGTCTTTTCAATTTCATATGCTTAGTTGAATTATAAAGAAGAAAGAGCGAAGATGAAACTTGTCTTTGTATTGTGGTGGTGTCAAGGATTATTGAATATGTCGTGGTTGACCAAAAGAATAAACCCAGAGGAAGTAAATATAGTGAGACATCATCTCATATCCGTCAGCCATGTTAGCAGGAAGTCCTTGGAGAAGGATATCGTGCTCGGAAAAACAGAGGGTCAGTTAAAGAGAAAAAGACCTTCAATGAGGTGGATTGACATAGTGACTTAACAGTGAACAGAGGAAGCTGCCAGGTTAGGCAGATTGGATTCTTTTGGTCAATTGTGTCACTTTCATTCAGAGCTGATTCAATGGGGCCTAACAGTCTATGGGACTGTATATCCATAGCACATCGGACAGTCTCTGCAATGATGCAGGCGTCACAAATGGACATGTCGTTAACATGCATTGAAAAATGAAGTTGTGTTAGACCTTTATAAAATGCTGCTTGACTTTGTTTTCAATTTGGAGTTCTTGTCGATTATATAAAGTAGGTTTCTAAGTTAGTAATATGAACTCTTCTTTATAAAGTTCAGTGTTATCAGTTTCTTCCCTTATAGAGATAATGGCAGGCCTTTAAATGGTTTCAACAAACACCAGGCTAGTGAATCTATTTTAAATGGAATGCATTTCTATTTTAGAAATTGAATGGCTGTGTTAGCAGTACTTAAGTACAGGGTCAAAGGTATTTTTCTAACAAAGAGCAGTTTTCACATATAAATCTATGAATAAGCAACAAGGGGCGAAATGATTTGAAAAGCTGGTTGCAAATTCTATCCAGAATGAAGCACTAGGCTGCCATCTACTGTTTAGAAAAGGAATATCTGGTATTAGGAGATCTTCAAGCGCTTCCCACGGAGGGATGAAGGGAGGTGGTTAGAAATGACTACGTTTTCTGTATCTGTGGTGAGGGGGTCAGCCATCTGCCTCTGTAGTGAGCACCTCACCTGATCCTCTGCAGGATATGGAACCAAACCAGCTGTAGCCACTGGGCAGATTCCTACCCACGGTGACCACAGGATAGAGAATGGCCCCCTCCTGGGTTTCCAAGCTTGCACATCTTTAAGGAGGCAGACCAACTAGTGTTTCTCCTGTAGAGAACCTCTGACCATCTGCCCAGCAGCCAAGCACGGAGCCTCGGTGCCACCACAGAACCATGGAGGAGATGAAGATAGCTTTAAGAGCATCTAAATACACCTTAACTTACACTTTTCTGACACATCAGACAACAGTACTGTCGATGACCCTGGTATCAAAAATGGTTAGAGTTTCCAATTTTCGGGATACCGAGCAAGGCATTGTTTCCTTCAAGGCTGTGTGGACATTTGTGTACACTTGAATAAAATTATATCTCTGCTTTCCAGCCTTGACGTTCTCTAGTAGCACGTGTGTCTGTGAAGCGTTTCCTTTCTCTCCTGCGCAGGCTTTCCGTGGGGCTGTGGCTGCAGTCGGAGAGCATTGTGTTCTTGCTGTTTCTCTTTCTGTCACTTCACATGCATCGCCTGCCCCTTTTCTCTTGATCAGGATGATTATCGACGGCCCCAACCTGACCATCTGGAACGTCACTCTGGAGGACCAAGGCGTGTACTCCTGCGTGGCTCACACAGCGCTGGACCACACCACGGACAGGATCCACGTGACGGTGCTGGGTAAGTCCCTGAGCCTCTGAGAACTGGGCCCAGTCCTTCTGCAGGACAGAAAGGTCCACAGACCCCACGTGCTGACAACCAGGACCGTTCGATTTCCGCTCCTGCTGACTTCTTTTCATTTAAAATGTACCTCCATGCTCCAGTGTTTGTTCTTCTTAAGATTCCTGTTTACCTGCTTTGCAGTGTATGGTCAGCGGTGGTCTCAGCAGACAGAAGGGACGCTCTCTTGAGACTCCAGGACACTTGGACCACCTTTCCTCGCGTGCAGAGGAGCAGGACCATGAGACGGGCAGGGATGTAGGGCTGAAGTGCAGCGTCAGGGGGCCTGGTGGCTGATGGCACTGCTCTGACTGGGAGCACAGGCTGAGCCCAGATGTTTCAGGAAGGTTCGGGCAGATTTCAAGGGTTCCTTGAAGGATTAGGTTTTTAAAACAAAACAAATAGATGAAAATGTGAGTTAGGCACTACTGCACACTTCACTAGTGTCTTCATTGCAAATGCCCCTGTATCACCAGTGTTTAGGCTGCTGGACCACCTGTGGGGTAGCTTCCCTTTTCTGCTCCAGCCTCCTCTCCATCCGGCCTCTGATCTGGAAAGCTGTGCTCCCGGTCACAACCATCGTACCACCGTCGCCTGGTTTCCCATCGTTCAGCCTGATTAAAGGACCAGGAGTTAAAGTTTTTTCTCCTTCCTCCTTCTTGCCCTCTGGCAGTGTCTCTCTGCCAAACGTTGGAGACCTGCCCCCAAGCCCTTGCCCCGGCCCCATCAGGAGTTGCCCTCCACTCCGTGCCCTCTGTCGGGGTCTGGACCTGCCCTCACCTCACCCACCAGTGCACCAACACTTCAGCCTTCCCCTTCTTCTTTCTGATGCCTTGACCACACGTCCTTAAAGAATTCTGTATTGAAAACTGTATGAACATCCCACAGTGAATGGGCAATTTATATCCTGCTGGAGCCCTGACTGACAGGAACATGTTTACCAATTTCTTATTTCCTTTCTACACTGTTTATGATTATTTGCTTACACTTCTTTATCCCTATATCTTCTGTCTAAACTGAAACCTTGCTATCGAGTTCATTGTGAGTCCTGGTGACACCGTGTGTTTAAGAGGACTGCTCTGTAGACTTGTCTTGAAGGCAGTCACCAGACTCTTCCCCTCGAGACACAGGTGGGTGCAAACCACCGACCATTGGGTTAGCGGCGCAGTGCAGACTACCTACAGCAGCCATTCTCCTCTGTAACGTGTCGGCATCACTTTTACTATTAGTAGACTCTGGCCTAACTCTCCTTGATTCCTTGCACGTCAGACGGCTGTTTTAATCCCAGATGCAGCCTACTGCACTGTTTGTTCAAAAACCCTCTAGACGTGAGTGGGCTCTTTTGTAGCAAGTGCTGGAGAGAAACCCACATTTCAGAAGCAGGAGATTCTGGAATCTCTTGAGGCAGTAATTTATATGGCCATAAAATTTATATGCCATTTCCAAGTGCATTTTCAAGTAAACATATGCCTTTGTGACTTGAATGTACTTCATGTAAATAGGAATGTCCAGTTACTAGCAAACACTCAGCACAATGCAGGGTGTTTCTCGCTTGGAGAAGAATGAGCCCCTTGAAAGGCCTTATTACAGAATATCTTCATTGCTTTCTCTGGGAAAAAAAAAATCAACGTCCTAGAAAACTTGAGAAACTTCAAACTAAATTTGGTTAGTAAGGACCACGAGGGATAAGGCTGCTTCGACTATTGCTTTTCTTTTAAGTGTGCCAGGCATTTCCCGTACTTTACCTCTAAGAATTTGCATTTCCCACTCAACTTTCTAGTTCTGTTACAACATTTGTCACTGTCAAATCTTCCTCTTCCAAAATATACTGCCTTCCTGCTCTTTCTCAGAACTCAAAACCAAGAGATTATAACATGCACAGGATGTATGGAGAATTTCTTGTCATAAATGACAATAAAAATTTCAATGCAGTTGCAGAAGTAAACACTGAATTTCTGTTCTCTAACTTTCCTACAACCCTAAGAACTCATTTTTACTGCTGTAATATGGTAATTACGTGCATGATTGAAGTGACCATATGTTTTTCACTTACTCATTTGGTCACAAAGCATTTATATGCAAAGCAATGTGGGTGGTGCAGAGATTAATAAAGTCTGCTCCCTACATTGGAAGATCTGCTCGGTCACTGTCAGGAAATGAAATGGGCAGATAGGAAAGAACGTTAGCCAGAAGAAAGGAAGTGGTCCCTTTGCGATAACGTCAAGATTTTAAAACTTGAACGTGCGTACTCATCATTTAGAGACTTGTCTAGAAATGGAGCTTTATGGACCCAACTCATTCTTTGAGCCAGAGCCTAATAATCATTGTTCAGGAAAATAAAAAATAAAAAACAACCACCAACTCACAATTCAAACCCTCTGCTGCGGGTAGAGCAATGAAGAGACTCGGGTTAGCGCACAACTTACTATAGACTGCATCACCGAAACTGCCTTCATTGTTATTCACGAAGAGAACTTTAATGCCATTAGTCAACATTAACCTTCTGAGAACTGTTGAGTGAGCAGAGAGAGCTAACACCTCTAACTAAAAATTATTGTTGTTATTGTGTACTGTTGAGTTAAACCAATTCACAGCAGACCCTCCAGTGGGTTTCATAGACAGTAATTCACCGGAGAGGAGAATGCCCATCTTTCTCCTGCGGAGCTTTGAACCCCAGCCTTTGGGTTGGCAATGCAGCTCCTTCTCACTAAGCTACCTGCATTTCAAACAGAACTGGGTGAGATGTGGACTCCTGAGTGGAGATCCAGATCCAGAGATGACAGATACACACACATACCTATGAGAGGGCATCAGGTAAACAATGGCAACAATTTTCACTTTTCTTACCTTCATCTTTCATTGTTAATTAGATGTTCCGGATCCACCTGAAAACCTTGTCTTGTCTGATCGACAGAACAGGAGTGTTCGGCTCACGTGGGAAGCTGGTGATGACCACAACAGCAACATTAGCGGTAGGAATGACTGAAGTTAATTATATAACAGAGCCAACGTTAATATTAAAGCCACTTACCATCGTTAGTGGATTATGCTTCTTAAACATTCTTTTAATATGTCAAATTATGTATAAGTCTTTGTGTAACTTAATCATACTTAATGAGTCCTATTTCTTCCCTTTCCCCTCTATGTTTAAAATGACAGAGTATATTATAGAATTTGAAGGAAACAAAGAGGAACCAGGAAGGTGGGAGGAACTGACCCGGGTCCTGGGAAAGGAAACTACAGTGGAACTGTCTTTGGTTCCATACGTGAGGTACCAATTCAGGGTCATCGCTGTGAATGAGGTCGGGATGAGCCCACCCAGCTCCCCCTCTGACCACCACGAAACACCGCCAGCAGGTATGTGCCTTCTCACACAGATTTTGACAAAGTATTAGGCTTTGTTCCATCTTTATCTTAAAAAACAAAACAAAACAAACTTGCATAGGATATGAAATGTCTCTACAGAGAGAACTTGATAAACCTCTATAAACTAAAAACAAGATGTTCAGCTCTTATCTGCTTTATGCTTATTGCGTACGTACTTGCTAACCAACCACGATAGTGGGGACTGTGAGAGCAAGCGTTGTTCTGAGGAATTCCTGATAGCTGCCATGTGTAAGTTAAAAATCATCCAGTATGTTCTCAACTGAACTCACTACAGAGAAAGGAGGTCAAGGATTCATATTTCTGGAATACATCTTTTCATTCATTATGGACACCTTGTTAAATATTCTTCTAATACTTAATTTTTCTACATTTGGTATACCTTTTATACCTCAAAATATATCTAAATTTCCTATTCTTTGTCTTTAAAAACTGGGTCTACATCTCACTGTCACAGGGTCAGTTCTGGCTCTCTGACCCTCCTTCCGGCTCCTGAGGCTGTAAATCCTTTCGGAGCACATTCTCCATCTTTCACCCAGGAAGTGGTTAGGTCAGGTGGGAGCCCAATATGTTATACACTTCCTCGTTTCCCCTTCCTTCAAGTTGTTAGGTGCCATTGAGTCAAATACAACTCGTACCAGCCTTGTAAACAACACACCTGAGTCCTGTCCGCTCCTGTGCCGTCCTCACCGTCTCTCACACGTGAGCCCGGTGCTGTCGGCACCATGCCAGTCCATCTGGTTGAGGGTCTTCCGCTCTTTCGCTCACTCTCTACCTTTCCAAGCATATATCCCTTTCCATGGAAAAGCGTCTCCTAGCAAAGTGTCCAAAGTGTGAGAGATGAAGCGTCACCATGTTTGCTCCCAAGGAACACCCTGGTTGCCCCTTTGCTGAGGCGTATCTGTTTGTTCTATATGTCCTCCTCCTCGTCCTCTTATAGTTCTGGAAACCATAGAGGAATTTTTCTTTTTGTGGGTAAGTAAAAAAAAAGAAATAATTTTAATGCTTGTAATTTTCAGCTCCTGACAAGAATCCACAGAACATAAGAGTTCAAGCTTCTCAACCCAAGGAAATGATTATAAAATGGGAGGTAAGTATTCCTTAATGTGCATTATTTATTTTCATTTCAGGTCTGCATTCTAAGTGAAATAGTATATTTTTTTTAAAAAGTTAACGAATAATCTATGTTTTGGGAAACAGACTTATTTGTAAGCTACAGTCTTTAAATATTTTTATTACTATTGTGATTTAAATTATCAGTTGTGAAATAGATTTTAATATTTTATATGATTTAAAGAGGGTACTAAATATTGAATTAATTCGAATTCACCCCAAAAAGTTTCAGATTATAAACATTTTTTCCCTATCAGTGTTTACCATATTTGAAATATTTTATAGATAAAAAACATGATTTGGAGTTACCCTTTATTAAGCACTGTGGTCATTTTATATATTATTTCTTACTCTTAAAACATAGGGGATATATCTTTCACTTTTTCTGTAAAATGCTTGTCTGTTGGATACTTCACTAAATCTGAACATTCAGATTAAGACAGACTAGGAAGAAGGATTGGCCATCCACTTCTGAAATAGCAGGCCTCCGAAAACCCTGTGTACAACAGAACACACGTAGAATAACAGAAAGGGCAACTAAGGTGGAGCTTTCAAGTATCGGAGACAGTGAGATTGGCATGGGACAGAGCAGGGTTTATGGCTGTTGTCTGTAGGGTTGCCATGAGTCACAGGAGACTTGATGACGGCACAACAACTCTTAAAACAGCCTTGTCAAGAAACTGTTGTCAACAGCTTGATCTAATGATAGAAGCAGAAGCCCACTGCCTTGTTATTCTAATTAATGATAGGCCACTAAGATTAAAGTCAATGTAGCTTTTTCTGTAAATCATGAGTATTTTTTTAATTATTAAATTTTATTAATTTTAATGAACACTTACAGAGATTTTGGGTTTTCATTCATTCATTGTCGCACTGTTTTCTCCACCCTCCTCCCCAGTTCGTTCTACCCTTTTTGCCCCCTTGAAAGTTTGTTTTAATTGTCCAATTGCCACAGTGCTTGTCAAAGCCATTTCTGATTAATCTCCTTTGTCAGTGTGTCCTTTGCCATTCCCTATCACTCCTCCCTGAGAGAGACTTCACCCTGATTCATAAGGAAAAGGGGATGGCGTATTCTCTTAGCTACTTCCTGCTGAAAAGGGACGCTGTGGGTTTTAGGGTGAAGATCTTCTCTCACTACTCATTTATACTGGAATGCTAAATTTATCTGTACCTTTTAGAATTTTGGAATATGTAGCTTGCTTTTCTCCTTTAATTTCTTGTGCTATTTCATGCTGGAGAAAAGTGTTGAATGTACCATGGACTGCTAGGAGAACAACAGGTTCATCCTGGAGAAGGTGAGGCCAGGCTGCTCCTTGGAGACAAGGATTCTGAAGCTTTTTGAATCCTTGTCAAGGATTCTGACATACTTTGGGCATGGTACAAAAAGGGAGCAGTCCTCGGAGAGGGGCGTCATGCTTGGGAGGCTGGAGGGACAGTGCAGGGGAGGAAGACCCACCATGAGATGGATGAGTTCTGTGATTGGGGTGGTGGGAGTGAGTGTGCCAGAGAGAGTGAGGTTGGCACAGGTTTGTGCAGGGTTTAGGGTTCTCGTACACAGGGTCGCAATGAGTCACAGGCAACTCGACAGCACAAAATAACAACAGCATACAAAAATTACTTTTTTAAAATCTCCTCCTCCTTTAAATTCTGTGGAAATTTCTGTAAGCTTGAGCGCTCTGATACTATATCTAGTTAGCTATCAGTAATACTCTATTTACAGGTTACTAGCTCAGAGAAACATGTTCCCCTAGTGTTGGCCCATCATCACCCTCACCGTTGCAGCCACAGCGGTGTACCTCAACCACAGTGGTCTTCTGCTTCCTACAGAGACGCTGTGTTTCTCTGAGCTAAAGGACCTGGAGGCCTAGCTGAGTGAGCTGGGAGAGGAGGACAGAAATGCCCAGTGCCTTTTCTCTCAGCTTGCGTGGCCAAGGAGAAGGAACTGAGTTCCAGCTGACCTTAGTAGGTTTTCTGCACAGGAGGAAATGGTTCACCTTTCTCATGGAGAGCAGCTGGTAGATTCCAGCCACCTGCCTATGGATTGACAGTGCCACTGCCTCCCCACACGGCCACCCCAGCTTCCTGGGCCTCTTGAGTGCTCCATTTGTGCAAAACCTACGTTATTTACTCTTATTTCTTTCCTAAAAGATACATAAGACTAAATGCTAAGACTTTGTTTCAGGAAGAATAGGATTAAGAAAGTGCTTATAATCTGGCCTTAAAGAGCAAACATGATTTGTTCTAGTAATTAATTTAGAAGTAATTAAACAAACGATGTTGTGAGATTGATAGTTATTTTCACAATATGCTTCATCTAATCACTAGAGACACACCCAGTGAAGATTAAGGACATACCCCACTCCTCCCTAATTGACTCACAAACTGTGAATTAATTACTACGCCTTCTCACAAACAAAAAAGGACTGAAATATTTCAATAGTAAGAATAGATTATTCATTCTTAATTTTGCTGCTATTGTTACTTCTTTGTTTGAAGATTGAATGTAAGTAGAGAAGCGTATTAAAATTTCATATGTATGATAGAGCTCGTCGAGTTAATATTATCTTCTAAAAATTGATTTTCATATGTTAGTTAGTCACAAACTACCATATGGCTTATATGTTCAACTATAACAGTTCTCTGCCCATCAAAGCAGCCAAAAGAGCCTACGACACACCTTGTCAGTTAAATAATTATGTAAGAAGGGTTTGACCTGGTTGAGGGTCTTCTTCTCTTTTGTTGTCCCTCTGTCTTTCCAAGCATGATGTCCTCCTCCAAGGAATAAAATAGCTTTTTCTAGCAACGTGCCCGAAGTATGTGAGGTGAAACGTCACTATCCTTGGCTCCAAGGAGCATGATGGGTGTGCCTCGTCAAAGACATATCTGTTTGTTCTTTTGGCAATCCATGGGGTATTCAGCACCCTTCTTCCAGCACCACAGCTCAAAGACATCAAGCAGTAGTATGACTTGGCTTAATCCACAGATGTCTTTGAGAATCTGATGGTAATACATTCTTTTACAATTTATAAATAGAAAGTGTTGCTAATTATTTCAGTGACTTCTCAGATAACTTTTTTCTGATTTGATTGGTTTACAAAGCATTTTAACTTTTCATTCAACTATTCATACACCTTTGTTCTATAACACTAATTTCTGATTTCTTTTAGTTATTCTGTTCTTCTCAGCGTCTTCCCTTTCTTGTGCTAACCGTTCTCTTACAGGACATTGTTTTTGTTTTTACCCATCTTAAGAAGTGCCTATTTTCTATTTACTACTTTCAACTCCCCTGTTGTTTCTGTCCCAGTTCTGATAATCATACCAGCATTAGCCTATCTATCTGTAAACTTTTCCTTCACTTTTTATAACTGTGATCTTTTATGAGAGTTGCTCTTTTTCTGACGAACTTATTTCATTTAGCATCATATTCTCCAGATATATCCATGTTATGCAGTGTTTGTGACACCTTTATTATTTCTTTAGTATTGCATAGTACTTCATTGTGTGGAATGTACTAATGAGCACTTGGGCAGCTCCTGTCTCTGCTATTGTAAATTAAGTCTTATTTACTTATATCTACTTATCAGGCAGCTCTTATTTCTTTGGGGTAAATATGTAGTGGTGAGATTGTTGGAACATATATTATTTATATTCCCAACTTTTAAAGGAAGCATCCGACTGCTTTCCATAGCAGTTACACCATCTTACATTCCCTCCTGGACTGTATGAGTGTCTCAGTCTCTCCATAGCCTCGCCAACATTTGTGTACTGTCTTACTGAACTTGCTATTATTTCTGGGAAGAGATAATACCTTCTTGTTTTAATTTACATTTCTCAAGTAACTGTCAATATGGATTACATCTCAGCATCAAGAAAACAAAAATTCAACAGGCAACATGATAAAGGATAGATTTGTTGTGTTGTTGTTGTTATGTGCAATCAAGTATCACTTGTATGGAGAAAATATTGACATTATCAATTATTTCATCTTACTTGGATCCATAATCAACACTCTTGGTACCAGCAGTTAGGAGATCAGGAGACATAGAATATTGGGGAAAATCTGCTATCAGGGACCTCTTCGGTCCTGATGAGTAACGATGTTAGTTTGAAGAGTAAAGCAGGCCAGATTGAGGTCATGGTCTTTCCACTCACCTGCTTGCATCTGAGAGCTGGACAAGCCATAAGGATGACAAAAGAAGACTTGAGACATTTTAGCTGTGTTGGCGAGGAGTACGGAATGTCCCACGGACCGCCAAAAGAACAAAGAGATACGTTCTGGAGAAAGTGTAGTCAAGTGCTTCTTGAAGGCAAAGATGATGAAGCTTCATCTCTTGTATTCTGAGCACGTTTGGAGCTTTACCTTAAAGGACATCACGCTTGGAAAGGTGCAGGGTCAGTGAAGGAGAGGAAGACCCTCAACGAGGTGGACTGACACAGTGACTGTAGTAATGGGCTTGGTATGTCAGAGATGTTGAGAACGGCACAGGATATGACAGCTGTCAGATCTGCTGTTTGTAAAGTTGCTGTGAGTCATTCTAGATTCCACAGCACATAAAAATAACTAATGATCTCGACATTTTTCGCTGCAATTATTAACCATCTGAGCATTTCCGAGATGCTTTGAAGACTGTCCTTGATCTCCGTCTAGGGATCCGTAGACTAGCAGTTAACCTTTGAGTTGGTTCCATTGTATGGGGAAGCCATGAGAGGCAGAATCTATCTGTGCTCTGTCAAGATTTTAGTGGTAGTTTTTCAGCAGAACATCACCTGGCCCTTATTCATCATGGAAGCAGCTCCAATCTCCTGTTCTTTGGTGAACAGCTGAGTGTGACAAGCTTTTACACCACCCAGGGACCATCTCTTCTAAGTAAAGAAACCCTTTTCTAAATACTCTTCTCACGGACCGTTTAATGGGGAAGGAAGAGGTGTGTAGCCTGACTCACTGATCTGCTCTTGCTCTGCCCAGCCCCTCCATTGTTAGCACTGGACTGAAAACTGGCTGAGGTCGTAGACAAAGCCTTCCTGCTCTTTCTTCAAGAGCCCAGGCACCAAAGAGGCTGGGGACTGAGAGGTGCCGTTTTCCTGAAAAGCATTACCTCTCTTGTACACTGATTTTAAAATTTGCCAGAGAACTTCTCATGTGTAGTAACTACTTTTCTGGGAGAAACACAAGGTAAATTGAATAATATTATTTGCGCACATAAAATGTCAGTAGAGGGTGAAGGAAATTATAATTACAGTTTAGAGTATTGAACAAAAAGCTTGTGGTTCAATTCATCTCGGCAATTCTAGGGCCTCTGGTCGAATTTTATCCATATTATACTTAAAAAAATATCCTGGGGCAATAGTTTGCCATGAATGCAAGCAAAAACAATGAGTGTGGAAAATCTCATAAGGTTTATATTTTGGGTTGCTTCCTGCCCCCCAGTAATAGTAAATATTCACCTTAGAATGAACATAGAATTGCAGTCATTTTCCTGATCCAGCAATATGCTTCCAACACAATTCCAGCCTTGTCTCTGATAACTATTTTAGTAAATTAGATTGAGTCAAGAGACATTACACATTCTCTAAAGTAGACGGTGTCTGAAAACACTGAATCACCCATATATACAGATAGAATTAGTGTTTATATGAGAGACTTTTATAAGATTCCAATCACAATTTTTATGTATTTTATGTAGCTAATTAGTGCAATTTTTTTTTTATTTTGGGGAAGTTAAGCAAATAGTTTAAGTCACATTAACATTTTATTTGACATATAGCTCAATTAACAGTGGAATAAAAAAATTAATTTACCAGATGAGAAATTTATCCATTAATGTTTCTTGACAAAGAATAGAAGGGCATTTTCTATTACAGAAGGAAAGGAAATAGTCAGGAGCTGAAAAATTATTTTGTTACAGCTTCTGGGTATGATTGTATATGCTGTAAAAATAGAGCTGAATTTAAAACGTGAGCTGAAGGAGAGTGGAGTCATTCGGAGAAAATAGTTCTCCTTGAGCGGTGAGGACAAGTCTCACACAGCACAATTTCTGTCCACACCCTTTCAAGTCTGGGGTTCCTTGGGAGCGAAAATATAGAATCTAGAGGAAAGCATTAACCAAAGTTAAAATCCTCTGTGAAATGCTTTAGTAGATTCTTTCATAGATGAAAATAAGATTGTACCTTGCGGAAATAATCCGACATCTCTTTTTTTTTAAAAAAAAATTCTCAGTATTTATGGAAGAATGGGGATTACATTTCAAAGTAAAGGTTATAACATGACACAAAAAATTAATCATTACTTTTCTAAATCAAAGTTGAGCATTTGAAATCTCCCAAGAAAGCTTTATTATTCCAGTGGATTTTAAAAAAATTGATATTTTAACAAGTGTTTACAGAAAATTTGGGTTCCCATTCCTTCATTGTTGCACATTTTCCCTCTCATTTGCTTGTTTTTTTAATCCATATAGGAAGTTCAGATTTCTGGGTAATAATACCGTGATTCCAAGTCCGTCAGTAAGCTGGAGCTGGGAAGTCTGTGGAATCACATCCACACCAGGTGGTTCAGCTCTGCAAGCAACACACAACTCTGTGGCTGAGTGGTGGCCACAGTCCACAGTCTGTGTTCACACCAGACGTGTGCTGCTTTCTCTGTTGTTCTTATTGTTGTTGTTGTTAAGTGCTGTTGAGTCGTAGGAAACTCATAGTGATCCGATGAGCAAAAGACCTGGACACCTGTATGACTTTCGTCCTTTCTCCAGGTTCACAGGGTTTCCGGAGGCAAGCTATTACGGAAGTGGATGCCACTCCTGCTTCCAAGCTTGTTATAATCGGGGAGCGCCACCAAACACTGTCCACCATGGGTCACCATGAACGCATCTGACTCCTCAGTGTCACAGTGTTCAGCTTCCCAGCAACCACGAGTTACCTCTGTACAGCAAGTGGGCAGACCAGGGTTACACAACCTAGAAGAATGTTTCACCCAAAGTAATTTAAGACAGCCCTGAGGGTCATGGAGTAATGTCACCCACCTTTGGCGTGGCAGCATGACTTTCTGTTCACCAGGCCAACTGATCTCTCTCTGTGCTGTGCTATCTCTTTCAGCCTCTGAAATCCATGGAGCAGAATGGGCCAGGCCTGGAGTACAGAGTGACCTGGAAGCCACAGGGCGCCCCAGTGGAATGGGAAGAAGAGACCGTCACAAACCACACCTTGCGGGTGATGACTCCTACGGTCTATGCCCCTTATGATGTCCAAGTGCAAGCCATCAACCAACTGGGCTCTGGGCCCGAGCCCCAGTCAGTGACCCTCTATTCTGGAGAAGACTGTAAGTGGCCCATTGAAAGGCCCCACCACTTCTGCAGCTCTTCACCTCAGGGAGAGTCTGGTGTGGTCAACAAATGTTTCTGAACACTTACCATGCAAGGACAGACTAGCTGTGGCAGATAAAAAGTAACATCGCACACAGCTCCTACCTGGGGGATCTCTGAAGGGCATTTGTTTAGTGTAGAGTACTCAGAAAGTTTTGGAAAGTTTAAATTGTATTCAGTTTCCTGATGGGCAGAGCTATTTCTATATTGAAAATATCAGACCTAGAATCATCACTATGTTCTATTAAGAAGCAAAACATAAAGTTTTCAGTTTTGTCTGTCCTTACATGTCAAAAAACTACATCACCACCCATCACCCACCATATCCTGGGCCTCAATTACATGTCTGGAGCTTTCCCAACACAAAGGAGATAGGGACGCAGATTTGTATATAAGATTTCTCTCATATTCCTTTTGATTCTCTTTTTCTCTCTCTCTCTTCTCTCTCTCTCTCTCACACACACACAGACACAGTCTTGAGGTCTGATATTGTCATATTGTTAAGTACTTATTTTTAAAAAGTACCTTTTATAGCTGCAAAAGTAGTAATCAATATTCTCAGGGTTTTTTACCCCCAACATATATAGTATTAAGAAAAGAAGCCGGTCAAGAGTGAGAAAGAACTCTTTATCCACTCTGAGATCAATGAGTAATGACAGGGACATCTACTGTGGAGTAAATTGTTAATCTAGACTGCTTTGTGCCTGGTTTTCTCCTCTTTGGTAAGTTCCCCATTGTTGATGTTGTTGTTGTTGTGTAATAAAGTTACCACTTCATCGGCTTCATCTGAGGAGATTAGTCTGTTAAGGAATGCCTGCTAGGCTGTACAAGTTCAATTGAAGCTGTCACGTGTTAATTATTTGGATGTTGAAAATTATATATATATATTATTTGTATTACTAGTTGAATTCAATTGCTTGCAAAGGCAAAATGCCTACAACATATTTCACTGGTCATGATTTCTTGTTTCCATCTCTCTGGCCACTGTACCTCCTTCTGAGGAACGATGTTTCTAAGGTGGTACAAGACATCCCTCCTGGAAACCTTGATTCTTCTCCTGAGGACTTAACTTATGGAAAACTCTCTTGGTTCCGTTTGGAATTGACGTTAAGAAAATATCTGCCCCAGATTAAGCATTATGAAGCTCACCTTTGGAGCAGGACACTAATGTTTACATCTGGAGGTTAATCGAAAGCTCATCCTTCTTATGTGTTCAACAGATCCTGATTCAGCCCCAATGATTAACCACGTGGACGTGATAAACAGCACTGTAGTGAGAGTCTCCTGGTCACCAATTCCCAAGGACAGAGTACATGGACATCTAAAAGGATATCAGGTTTTTAGACTACTTTTCTTTCTTCTCGATATCAAATTAGTGTCTTATTTCTTGTGAATAAGAACTGGTTTCAGATGAAACTACCACCATGATTGGGATGTTAATAAATCGTTTTTTATTTTCCTTATAGATCAATTGGTGGAAAACAAAGAGTCTGTTGGATGGAAGAACACATCCCAAAGAAGTAAACACACTAAAGTTTTTAGGACCACGAAACTCTGGAATGGTTCCTTCCTTAGATGCATTTAGTGAATTTCACTTGACAGTCTTAGCCTACAATTCCAAAGGAGAAGGTCCGGAGAGTGAGCCTTACGTATTTCAAACACCAGAAGGAGGTGAGAGAGCAACAGCGTGGCATTATCCCAACAACATCCCGGTGTATCCACAGCCCAAGCAAAACATTTTCTGATCATTAACTAGTACAGACTTGGAATCAATTAACTTCACAAATTTTAGAGAAAATGTCCATCTTCTAGGAGTTTGGGATTTACCGTCTTGTTAATGTTTCTCCTGGGCCTTGTGTTTTTCAGTACCTGAACAGCCAGCTTTCCTCAAGGTCATCAAAGTTGATAAGGACACTGCCACTCTGTCCTGGGGACTTCCCAAGAAACTGAATGGCAACTTAACTGGCTACCTTCTACAGTACCAGATAAGTAAGTAGAGATTGGACCTGGAGTTAGCGTATTATGTAATGACAGCGATGTAAGAGAATGAAACATATTATACATTTCATCTTTTCTGTCACTTGTGTATATTCTAAATAGTTGTTTTTCATGTGTATGAGAGCTCTCTGTATATTTCCTGAACTTTTGCTTTGATTGTAGTAATTTTTTTCACTTACCTCCTCAGGGTTTATCTGGCATGCTCTCAGATGATGTCAAAGCAGTGAGAACTGTATTTCTTTCTTTCCAAAATGGTATTTACTGTGAACTTTGATAATCGTCGATAACTGTAGAGGGGCTTCAGGCCTTTTGTCCATATGAGTCATAATCCACTCAAAGGCATTCAATAACAACACAGCATTGACACAAGAGTGCCTCCATTCTTTAGATAATGCAATTAAAGCTGTAAAAGAAACGTGGCAATTCAAATGTTTGGAAAGACTATAAGAGTCAAGACTTTTATTCTATTCAGGTTCTTGCTTGTATAGCTTTAGATAGCTCATTTTGTCCTTGGATTGTTTTGGAGGTAATTATATAGTGCTTGGTGCTGTTATACAAATCTCATGTCCTTGGTACGTGGTACAGTCTATGAAAGAAACAAATTCGTTGTTTTTTTCCTCAGTTGACACTTTCTATTGCGCTTAATGCCACACAGACTACTGCGGTTGAATCTATTCTATCTCACATGGCTCTGCAGGACAGCACAGAACTGCCCCCTCGGGATTTCTGAGCCTGTGATCCTTACAGAGCAGATTGCCTCCTCTTTCTCCCTTCGGGGACGTTAAGAGAAAGTTGTTAGGTCGAGTATACAGGAAACAAAAATGTGTCATCTTAGTGAATATGAGAAGGTGGGTCTTTGTCTCTGAGACAGTGTATTGATGAGGAACATGAGATCTGGAATAAAAAAGCTATAGTTTGTATTCAGACCCTTATTTCCAATTTCTAGCTCTTGATGTTGGCAAAGTGTTTGGAGTCAAGTGTTTGAAATCTTGCTGGATCTCAGTTTCCCTGTAGTATGTTGCTAACAGTCTAGTGAGTACAGTTACACTGCCAACCCAAAGACAGGATTCGAACCCACCAGCTGTGCTATGAGAGAAGGATGAGCACTCTATTCTCATGCGATTTGTGGGCTCTGGATGCCCAGTGCAAGGGCAAATAAGTGTTGGTTCCAACTTTCAGGTTGTCAGTAGAATGAAATAGATTTTTATCTATGAACAATTAAGATAAAGTCTTGCATATACACAAGCATTAAAAAAAATTGAAGAAGAAACAGGTAAGTTGTCTTGGTTAAGCAGTATGAAATATGACACGTTTGGTTCACGTTTATTTCCTTAGTAAATGACACCTCTGAGATTGGAGAATTAAATGACATCAACATCACAACCCCATCTAAGCCCAGCTGGCATCTCTCAAACCTCAATGCCACTACCAAATACAAATTCTACTTGAGGGCTTGCACATCAAAGGGCTGCGGAAAACCAGTCACAGAAGAGAGCTCCACGTTGGGAGAAGAGAGTGAGTACATCAGGCTTCTCACGCCTTGTTTCTTTACACAACCCTATGAAAGGACTCCTCCAAGCTCATCATTATAGATTGTATCTGACTGTGAGCCAGTCTGTCCAACCTTTTCCAGCAATTAGATTCAAGATTCGTCTTGTTTATAAAGTTCACATTGACTCAACTTACCGATTTCTACAGAATAGCAATCAATCCTAGTCTTAGTGCATGTGAGGTCAAGAACTATAATTCTACTTAATTAAACTAGAGGGGCATGAGGTCATAAATTGACTTAAAGGTTAGAAAAGGAATATTTTTTTTTCTTTTGGAAATGCTTCCACAGAGAAAACTCTTTTTCCCCTGCATCTTTTAAAACACCCATTCAGTATGTTTTACTTCCATGTTTAAGCTCATAAATACACTAATTAATTTAATAATTCTCTTTTATTGTCTAGTAGTTTATACTAAATACCACCTGAAAAAACAATCCGTAACCCTACCAGTCAATTTGTAAAGTATTCTTAATCCACTTGCACTTTCCTATTTCCAGATTATATCAATTTTTCCCCAAAATTACTTTTTCAATTATGACAGTTAGCTATCTTGCTAACCTTCTTTCGATCACAACAGGACACCAGCAGAAGAATAGAGAAGGTAGAGAAAGGGGGAAAGGGAGATGGATCAGAGAAACTGATGGAACTAATCAGTGGGAAAAGAGATTCGTACTCTGCTTAGAATGGACAGACCAAGGGGGGACGTTTGAGTAAGAGAAGAAGGGAGTGGAGATGGTGGAAGGAAAATAGAATCATTGATATATGCAAGACAATTGTGGATGATCTTCACAATTGTAGAAGAGACAGACAAAAGGTAGAATCAATGATAGAAATATCAGAAAGAGTAAAGAGTAATAAAATTGTCACTTATGAATGTTGTTTTTATAAACATAGGTTTGTGAACCACTGTAAATCAGTGTGTTCGTGCGTGAGCGACTATGTTCTGACCTTGGTTCTCCCTGTTTCTATTCCTCTGTCTAAATACTCCCTAAATACAACTCCCTTAAATAGGAAACAGTAGATATATTCATGTACTTTCTAAAATTTAAAAATGAATAATCCCAAGGTTGTGTTGAATTGGGTATTAAGTAAAAGGAAAAAAAAAAAAAACTAACGTGTCCATCCACTTGTAGAAGCTAGAATTAAAGGTGGTTACTAAAAATTTCTCATAACAAAAATAATCTTCATTCTCAAATATTTGAAAATGATGTCAAATGTTCAATATTTAAGTAAAATATTAGTAATGTAGATGCACAACTTCATTACCTTTAAAACTGAATTTTGGGCCTGGAGAAGGTTGCTATTTTGATAGTTCTAAGACCACTGTATGCATGACAGCTGTTAATCCTGTCTGCTCATTTTGCAGTATGTACAAACTTTTTATCTTATAATTCACAAATTTCTTTAAAATAGTTACAATTCATCTTAAATGATGTAAATTTAATATTTTTTGCATTTATGCTTGACAGATTCTTTTTTAGAGGATGGGAAAATACTGTTTTGTTTACTTTTGTTAGTAATCATGCACCTTTTATTTGTATTTTATTTAAGCACATATATTTTATCTAAGCACCTTTCATAGCTGATGCTCTTGAGTGTCTCAAAGTGACTTTCTTCACTATCTTATCTGCTGGCCGTTTCATGATGTTTCTCACAAGTCTGTCTGTGCTCTTTTTCAGGAACCCACATTTTCAGGGTCCCACATACTGCCTTTTCCTCAGTTAACACTGATTTCTCGTCCAACAGGCTCATCCTCTCCTCGTTTATTGGAAAGAATTTGGAATTTGTTTTCTTACTAAGATTCGCCATGATTTCTTGAAGACAGAAAAACACATACATATCTATATTTCAATTAAGGAGACATATTTTCTTATTTCTAAGTGCTCTCACTGTGATAACCTGGGTGTGAATTGGAATCTGTTTCTCTGTCTGTTCTCCTCCCAGCTCTGCAGCTTGCTAACATGGTCTAACATTATCGTATTTATTCAAAGGTTAAGAATTTGAAATACAAGCATATTGGTTTTGTTTGGTAGCTGATGTATTCTGATTATTTCCTGGTGGCCACTCCAGATTTCAGATGGTTCCCATCTCATAACTGAAGAGGGCAGAAAAGATGAAGCTGAGTAGAAATAGTCTTTTTTTTGGTGTATAATTTGGAGTTTGAATAAAATACTTGCTTGCTAAATATTTTTCAAAACTTATCCTGTTTAAAGAATACTAATGATTCTGTTTTCCAAGGTCAAAATTAATTGCATTTCTCTTTCACTGGTGCTCCAAATTGAAGGCTTTCTTTGCTCGACTAATACATCTCTGGCCTTCTTCCGTCTATGATGCCATTTTTAAAAATAAAGCTCTTTTGTTACTAGAAGCTATTTTTTCCAATTATTATTCTTCAGTAAAAACTAAGATGATTTTCATCACATTAAAACTGTAGAACAATGGAAAAAAAAACCTAAAAATTTTATAACTTACCATAGAGTTAGCAAAAAAAATGTTTATTTTCTTTGAATTTTCACATGTTACCACACACAAATCCATAATATTTTCTGTTACATTTGCTACACTGGTTGATTTCAAGTAAAATAATGGATAAAAAACAAATTGGTATCTTTTAGTTAAACTTGACTCATATTGATATTTCTTTTTTGAAAAACTATTATTTTGCCTACAACTTTTAAAAATCTCAGTGAAACCATTTAATTTAAATACTCCTATAAACCTGCACTTTATTTCACATAAGTTTCTACAGTTTTCAGATATTTTGTTTTTTGACTGCATTAGGCTGCTATCTCATCATTCCATTAATGTTGTCATATGTATTTCATTATATTTAGTGGTGAAAACTGGAAAAAAAGAGTTACTGTATAGTTAATTGGAATTCTACTGTCACCCACTGACAATTGTAAGTCAAAGTGATCAGACTGAGTTTGCTACTTGGTTTGGGAAAATTAAAATTATGTAAAATGACATATAATTTTTTTAAGTCTGCATTTGGTTTTAAACCATTCAAGTGTCTGGGCAAGTTTATGGTTGTATTTCATGAAAACATAGACCCGTCTTAAAATGGTGTTCACTGAGGTTATTTACTCAGTTTTAACTGAGTATTACTGCAAAGATACCGTGAAACACAATTTTCTCCATCTTTTGCAAATTCAACAACTATTTCAGAAGAAAACCAACTAAACTCTACAAATGGCTTTCTTACTCATTTCAAATAGTAGTGTTTTGACTTTTAATCTCTGTTTTCCGTTATTACAATTCATATGATTTAAATGTGTACCTTTTATAGGTAAAGGTATCGGGAAGATATCAGAAGGAGTAAATCTTACTCAAAAGACTCACCCAGTAGAGGTGTCTGTACCTGGAGCTGAACATATAGTTCACCTGTTGACTAAGAATTGGGTTGATAACAATAGCATATTTGAAGATGTAATTGAGACAAGAGGGAGAGGTGAGAAATGAGATTATTTGGTGCAATTTTAGACAAATATAGTGTTCTGTGGATTTAAGTTCACTTATTTCCTGCATTAAAATTTTTTAAAAATTGACTATAAAACCAGTTTAAATTCATGTTGGCATAGCATTTTCAAATTCACAATGAAAAATGATTCTAGTATTCCAATTTATACTTTGTTGTTTTTACCAGATTGTTGTTGTTGATTGCTGTTGAGTCATACATGACTCATAGCGACTCTATATACAAAAGACCTGAGGCCTTTCTATAACTATCACTTCTCCAAGTTCATAGAGTTTCCAGAGGCATGTGTCTTAGGAAGTGGATGCCACTCCTGCTTCCAAACCTGTCTTAATCTGGGAGTTCCACCAAACACTGTCCACAATGGGCAGCCTTTATGGCATTTGACACCCCAGTGGCACAAGGTTCAGCGTCACAGAAAACCCAGATTACCTCAGCACAGCAAATTGACAGAAGAGTGCTGCACGACTTAGAAGAATGTTCCTCCAAAATACAGTAACAAGGGATTAAAATATAATCCCCTGGGCCTAATTTTTAAATACAAGGGCCCCAGCAGGAGATCTTGTTGACTCTAAACAAGAGGCTTAAATAAAAAACAACCAAACATTCCACAATGACTCTCAACCAAAACAAGAGAGCCCATCTTACAGAGTCCAGTGGCTTCACCCAGGCTCAGCTGCCTGAAAATAATTTCTCCTACTAATTAACTCATGTTAATAACACACATTAAAAACTTAGAAAGCAGAGGCTCTGTGGCCACCTGCATATAGCATAACCCAAGCAATTCTGCTTCCGCTTCCTTGCTGCTGCTTATGCCATTCTTAACCTGACTGCCTCTGCTGCCCTTCTTTGGTTTCTATCTGGAGAGTCTAATGCAACTTGAGAAGACTCTTAAGTAAAAAAAGTCAAGTTGTGTTAGTATTCCCCCAGGGAAAAGGTCTCCAAAACACATAGTTCAAAGGAATAAAAATACAACTGATACTCTTTAGTAAGCTTAAAAATGATGTCTGACTTTCCCAGTGCAAAATCCCAAAGGCTGTTTTCTAGCATGCAGTGATGTCACTTCTGTCTGTGCTCCAGAATACGCAGGTTTATATGACGACATCTCCACTCAAGGCTGGTTCATTGGATTGATGTGCGCCATCGCACTGCTCACCCTCGTCTTGCTAACAGTTTGCTTTGTGAGGAGAAACAAAGGTGGCAAGTATTCAGGTACAGTTGTAACTTAAGGTGGACTTTTGATAAGCTAATTCCTATTTGCTGGGAGATATTCTGTAGAGATGCCTTTTATTTACATTTCACATTTAAGTCAAGTTTATACTCAGAAATTAGATATGGGGTTTATAGAAATGAAAAGATCTTAAAACTTTTTTAGCCATATATATGGTCTAGAGTATTAACTCCAGATAACTTGTTTTCTAGTTTCTAGTGCTTAAAGTGGGTTCTGTGATACATCTATTTGTAATCCATGCAACACTTTCAAGCTTCATTTTTCTACCTATGTTGTTGTTTGTTGCTGTATACCATTGACTTGGAACTGGACCATAACTGATCCCACAGAGGGAGATAGTCAGGTGTAGTGCTTATCTGCTCATATGCTAATCAAAAGATCAGGGGTTCAAACCCACCCGAGGATCTGTGGAAGAAAAAAACCAAGCAGTCTGGTCCCATAGAGATTATAGCTTGGGAAACTGTGGGGAGGGTCTGCTCTGCCATATAGGATCATTAAGGGTCAGGTTAGATTTAAGGGCTCCTAGCATCAACATTGCTAATATAACGGTTGCATTTGCTTTAATACCATTCAGTTTCCAAATGTGTTTTCTCTTTTTTTTTCAGACATGCATACTATGTTACTTTTTGCTTAGTATTCATGATGCTTTTATGGAAGCAAAGAATGCAAAGTCCAGCTGCCGTTAGTTTTCTGATGCTCAGATGCACGTTCTTGCTGCAGTGTTTCATCCAGCAAATATTGAGAATACAACGTACATAGAACGATTACTAGCATATTTTCCAAGTTTTTTCCAAAACAATATGGCTATTTTATTCTGTTTTCTATTTTGTGATGAATTGGGCTTTTCAAAGGAAAATTAATAATCTAAATAATGAATTCAAGACTAGGAAGAAACATAGAAGTTCCCTTTGAGTAAGGGAAAAAAATGTCCAGCAGATGCTCCTTTGTGACATAAGGCCTTAACCAAATTCTATGAGAAACTTCTTCAAATCCTGTTCACAAAGGGGAAAAAAACCCAAAACCCTGACATTTCATATCCTAGGGATTCTGGGAGGGTCTCCCTGGGTCTCTGGTAGTAAATAGCAAGTGCCATGGAGAGAGGATGGTCTTTCTTTCAAGAAAAGAAGGGTGTGTGCCTGCGCTTTCTCAGTGAAATGGAGCAAGGGCCATGTCTTCCACAGCGCAGCTGAGATTAACTCTGACTTCAACATGTCACTGTAGACCTACATATTTTTACTACAAAGGTAAAGCTAAGGAAGTTAGAGTGGCGTGGGACTGTTTAATGATTCTTCCCCTCCCCCTCCTAGTTTAAGGATGCAGGTCTGATTTAAACCTATCACATCTTCTAAAAAAATTTGAGATCATAAAATCAATATTTCATAATTTGATCTTCATTAAAAGACCGTAACAAAATTGGAATCTTCTAAGATAAAGTTCTCCACTTTGTTGAAACATAGATGACTTCTAAATCAACACTTAAAAAAATATTAGATAACAAGTAGACTCCCAAAACCCTTTTTCTTTTTCCTTCCTGTTTAAACCAAGAGGTAACTGATGAGGTCTAGAAACCACAATAACAAAAAGCAATATTGTTTTTCTTGATTATGTATATGTTGAATCACTGCTGTTGTTACTGTGTACCGTTGAAGCGGAACCGATTCATAGCTGACCCTTCAGTAGGTTTTCAGAGGCGTGGGAGGAGATTGCCTCTCTTTCTCTGTGTACCAGCTCGTGGAGTCAAGCCTTTCAAGAGCACTGCTGAAATAGCTTTTAAAAGTCTTTGTATGATTTTTTTTTCCAGTGAAAGAAAAGGAAGATTTGCATCCAGATCCTGAAGTTCAGTCAACAAAAGATGAAACATTTGGAGAATACAGGTAAGTGTAGTGGTCCATTTTAAAACACATAAAATGACATATTCTTTAGGCAATGAAATGAAATGGACACAGTAATGTTTATTCTTAAAGGTCACTATTGAAATGCACACCTATAAATCATAATTTGAAAAAGAGCTTTTTTGCCATGTTAGTAATAGAATTCTACCTTCGGTAGTGAGGTATTCTTAGGAACTGCATCTAGATAGAAATGTATGATAGAAGCCTTTTATTTAAACTGAGTGTGTAATACAAAGGCTCTGATTTATTTAGGTTGAATTGTGATTTTTAGGGTAATTAAAATATGTTGGAGCCAATCTTTAGCATGGCCCTTGTGAACTCAGATTATCTCCAATTTGAGTAGCTTTTACTTACCTAGAAACAAAAACTAAGTTACAGACTCTATCATCAAGTTACAGACTCAAGATAGAGTCCACAGAAGAAAAAACGAACGATGAATATAACCCACATAGAACTGCGTCCTGAAGGGTTTTTAGTGGTTGAATGTTTCGAATACAGATCTTTCAGAATTCTCTTCTGTGTGGCGACTGGGGTGAATCAAACCATTTGTTTTGCCCAGGCGACTTCATACATAAATGTTGTTGTTATTCAATGGCATCTGAGACATCTCTGCCTGAACTCCGTGTGACAGAGTCAGCTTGTCTCATTGGGGTTTCTTGGCTGTAAAGTTTATGGAAGACATCAATAAGTCTCTCCGATGGAACCACTGAGTGGGTATGAACCGTTAACCTTTGCTCAATCAGGGTTTCTCTGGATGAGAATAAGTATAATTATCTAAATAGAATAAAAAAGAAAAAGGACGGAGGTCTGCAAAAGGATGAGGAATATTTTCAAGAGATGGCATGGCGTGGTCAAATACATGAGAGGAGTTCTACATTTGAGGTTAGGCAGGAAGCCTAGCATGAGATGGTCGTTTTGCACCATCAAGGCAGAACCAACTCATAACTCATCCTCCAGGAGGTTTCCAAAGGCTGTAAATCACACAGAAGATTGTCCATCCTTCTCCAGCAGAGTAGCTGGTGGATCCGAACTGTGTTCCTTTAGGTTGGCGGCACCCTCCTTAAAGAAGTGTTAAAACTTCTCCGCTCTCTTCCTCTGCTTCCATGTATTCCTTCTCAACACATTCTTCATCTTTTTAGCTCTCCTTGTTTACAATTTCATAATTTTGTCTTCTTTTATTCTAATTATTATTGTTCTGATTTAATATTTTTCTATTTCTTTTTTAATTATTAAATTTTATTAGTTTTAATGAACATTTACAGAGATTTTGGGTTTTCATTCATTCATTGTTGCACTGTTTTCTCCACCCTCCTCCCCAGTTCGTTCTTCTTTCCCCCCCTCCCCAATGTCTGTTTTAATTGTCCAATTGCCACAGTGCTTGTCAAAGTCAGTTCTGATTAATCTCCTTTGTCAGTGTGTCCCTTGCCATTCCCTATCACTCCTCCCTGAGAGAGACTTCACCCTGATTCATAAGGAAAAGGGGATGTCGTATTCTCTTAGCTACTTCCTGCTGAAAAGGGACGCTGTGGGTTTCAGGGTGAATGTCTTCTCTCACTACTCTAAAGGGCCCCTTTGGCAGTAGGAAACACATAGACTATTATGGAGATTGATTTTGGAATTTAGATGCACTGTTATCAGTTGTGCTTAGCCGTACATGTTCATATCCTTGAAGTTGTATCATGGAAGTGTTGCAGCCTAGAAGATACAAATTTAACTAACAAGTTAAAAGTGCATGAGTCAAAAAATTGAAAAGCAATAATATTCTGAGTAGAGGTTCTAATAGTGGCACAAATCAAGTTACAGAGGTAAGGTGGTTCCATTGCCATCCTTACTCTAACTTAATTCTTTTTTTTAAATTTAAATTTGTTATTAATTTCAGTGAAAATTTATGGAGGTTTTGGATTTCCATTCATTCATTGTTGTAGATTTGTACCCTCCCAAGGCTCCCCCCCCCCACCAGACATCATCTCACCCCAGTCAAAATAGCAAAATTTAACAGAACAGCAAGCAATAAATGCTGGCGAGGTTGTGGAGAAACTGGAACCCTGATTCACTGATGGTGGGAGTGTAAAATGGTGCAACCCCTGTGGAAAGCGGTATGGTGCTTTCTCAAAAAGTTGCAAATAGAGATACCATTTGACCCTGCAATACCACTACTGGGAATATACCCAGAAGAGACCATAACTGACACCCAAGCAGATATATGCACACTCATGTTTATTGCAGCTTTGTTCACAATAGCAAGGAGTTGGAAACAACCTAAGTGCCCATCAACAAACGAATGGCTAGAGAAGCTGTGGTATATTCGCACAATGGAATACTATGCTGCATTAAAAAACAAGGAACTCATGCAATATTACTCAAAATGGTTGACTCTGGAGAACATTATGCTGAGTGAAATGTCCCAGTCACAAAGGGACAAATATTGCATGGTGCCACTGTTGTAGAATGGGACTGTCCTTGGGTTAGGGGAGAGAATGAGTAAGATGGGTTCAATAATGTATGCTGCTCTGAAACAGAGAAGGGAGAAAACTGTTTAAAAGAGATATGTGATTAGGTATTTCTGTCATGACAGGAGTCTAGAGCGATGGCTACATGGTGGAGTGGACCTGGGGGGAGGGTTTGTAAAATAATGAAAGTTTTTCTATTTCTTGATAATCTCGTTATTGTTAAATGCCATTGAGTTGAGTATGACTTAACAGCAACCCTATGTACAACAGATCTGAAACGTTGCCTGTGTTGTGCCTTCCTTGTCATCTCTGACACATTTGATTCCATTGCTGCAGCTTTTGTGCCAATCTTTATTTCTAAGGGTCTTCCTCTCCTTCACTGACCCCTCCAAGCATGATGTCCTTTTCCAAGGAATAGCCTCTCCTAAGAACATGCTCAAAGTATGTGAGATAAAGCCAGACCATCCCTGACTGAAAGGCTAAGCCACATTAAATTCACTACAGAGTAAGCTTAAAAAGTAAGAAAAGAGAGATTTTGCAAATGGTGCTCATTGCCACTGTGTTAGTGACAGATTTTCGTTGTTATTAGATGCTGTCAACTCGGTTCCAGCCCTGTGTACCACAGCGTCAAGCACTGTTCAATCCTGCACCATCCTCCCAATTGTTGGTTCATAACAATTACCTTTATACCTGGCAGCTTAAAACAACAACGAGTTCTCTCACAATCTGTGTGGATTTTGAACTGGAGCTCAGAGTAGCCTCTGTGTCAAGGTCTCTCAGGAGGCCTTACCAGAGTCTCTGCCAGCACCAGGGGCTCATGGAAAGGCCCTCTGAAGTGGGACCCAGGTCCTCATTCACTCATGTGTTTGGGGACTCAAGTTCAAGCAGGCCATGTTCCACACAGGCTATTGGCCAGAGACCATACAATTTATTGCCAACTGGACCTCCTCATTGGGGAGGGTGTAATATGGCAGGTGAATTCATCATTGTGTAAATTTGGAAGGAGGGAGCACCCAAATGGGGAACCCTATTTCATTCTAACCTCGCCTTTTTAATGATGTCTATTCACTTCTGTCATATCCTCTGGAAGTTAATGAATTCAGTTTACATCAAAAGGAGAGGATATCAGAAGTGTTTCAGTTTCATGAGCAAGGACTCATTGTTGGCATTTGATAAATGGGGAAAATTATTTAAAGATAAGATATTGGAAGATGATTCCATTTTATAGGTGCTATAATTAACAAAATGCCTTGTCCAAAAGCATATACACAGCCGTGAGTGGGCCTGGACTAGAATGCCACTCTCATTTCCTCATCTCAGAGGCTTCCTTAAAAAGATAGGGAAAGCCATGCCACCTCTTTACAGGAGATGATTTTCTCCAGCTGCTTTCTCCAGACCACACCTTCATCAGTAACATTAGCTGGTTTTCATATTAGACTAAAGGAAAACCAAAATTACACAAATGTGTTAGTTAAGCAACAGCAACAGAAAACTGAGTTTGTAAACTCTTTTACAAAAACACCTTGGATGCAAACAAGAAAATTAAACTGATAACTGATAACTTAAACAAAAAAGGTATTTTTAGAGGATTGCAGGGAACTTAGAGGAGCCCTGTGGGGCAAATGTCAAGGTGTTGTCTGCTCACTGAAAGGTCAGTTTTCCAAACCCACCATCAGTGACGTAGGAGAACAAGCGTGGCGTGATCACGTCTCATCAGGATTTGAGCCTGGGAGGGCCTGGGAGCGACTGCTGACCTGTCCTCATGGGCTGCTGAGTCAGGAGCACCTGGTCAGCACCTCATGACGACAGGTTGAAGGAACTTAACAAGAGCAGAAGTAAGAATAGGCGATCTTAGGACGACTTAGGATCATGGTTCCTAACAATTACCTCTACCTGGCAGCTTCAAACAACAACCCAGTTCTCTCACAATCTCTGTGCATTTTGAACTGGCGCTCAGCATAGCCTCTGTGTCAGGGTCTCTCAGGAGGCCTCACAAGTAAGACAATCTCTTTGTCTTCTTTGTAGGTCAGTGAGTTGAGTTGCTCTGCACGTCCCGCAGAAGCACCATTAAAATTCACAGAAGTGTTGTGATTCAGGGCCAAGAATTTCTTAATTGCACAGCCTAGTACAAATTGGGTCTGACATTTTAAAAGTTTATTTGTGGAAATGTCGCTGGGAGTTGATGTCTCTATCTTCAATGCTAAAATGAATGCCTTGGAAATGATAAGTCCTATTAATACATGCGAGTCTTGTTTTATAGAGGAGTGTCTATGATTAGATTTTGTTGAACTTTTCTGTTCTATAGTGACAGTGATGAAAAGCCACTCAAGGGAAGCCTTCGGTCCCTCAACAGGGACATGCAAGCCACAGAGAGTGCGGACAGCTTGGTGGAATATGGAGAGGGAGACCATGGACTGTTCAATGAAGATGGCTCATTCATCGGTGCCTATGCCGGATCGAAGGAGAAAGGATCTGTTGAAAGTAACGGCAGTTCCACAGCAACGTTCCCTCTCCGGGCATAAACACAACACGTGCAAGCACCATCAACAGCTCACACCGACCTTCCAGATTTATCTTCACAAGGGAACAAGAACTTAGAACAAGAACACAGGAATAAAAATATGTCAACAGAGATTCCACGAAGAACTCAAGCATCCTACAGTCATGTTGAGAAAACTAGCACTGCCTTTGAAGAATAAGAACCAAGCTCTTTAGGCCTATTTGGTTTTTTGAGGTGCTCAAAACACAGAACAGGAAACAGATCCCGCGTTTAGACTTGCCTCAGTGGAACCCAAAGTACCTTCAGCGTCGCCCTTCAGCACCTGGTTGTCCTCTTGCACGTGTTCGCATAGATGTTGCTACCTTCTTTGGGTTTTCTGTGTATGCACATTTGTACCTGGTCACTGAGAGCTCTCTCGGGGACTTCACTAGAGGTTAAAAGATGGTAAGCAGACTGGTTATTTAATATGTAAAAAAGGAAGATGAATGTCCTGTTAAAACAGCTCATTGAATATACAGTCTAAATTTATTATTGAAATCTTGAGTAGCCCAGAGTCTTTAGATGAACAATGCACTAGTATTTATTGAGCTCCTAATGATTTGCCCAGAGATGGTCTTGTTTCACCAGAGTTAGAACTTTATTCCGTTTCAGTGTGGATTTTATATTTCTGTCATTTTCCACTATCAGCAAACATTCCTGGCAACCCACCCTTAAACTAACCTCAGCAGCGTGGAAGCAGCGGCCAGAAGGAGCTGCCCATGATTCCGGCATCTCACAGCTTTGTCTACTTAAATGTCCAGTTCTGAAGCCACTGTTTTAACCATTTTTTTTCTGTGTTTCTATGATTGTATGCTTGCATATATTTCATGAATGCATTGTACATATTTTGTTAATATTTACACACGTTAAAATACAGATGTGTTTTATTTTGAACTGAGAAAAAGAACATAGCAGGCATGTCTGTACAGCTAGGGTATATAGTAAGATCTCATTTTTTATATCATTTTTCATTATTCCAGAACCATTGCCAATAACCTGAGGTTGCCAAACTGAAGACTTTGTATAAAGTGTTTAGATTTTTTTCCTGACATTGTTTTTTTAACCATCTCAAAATAAAATATCATGTAAATATTAAGGGAAATGTTTTCCTATTTTTCAGAGTTTTTAGTGTTGAGTGTGTTCCTGTCCTGGCCCCAGGGAAGAGAAAGTCTTTATGATAAAGTTTCCTATACACATACTTGCCTATAATACATTTTAAACAGTTTTAGAGTAGAATTTTTTCTGTACTCTCCTTTTTGTCAAAGTCGGTTCACTATCAGGAAATTTATTTCCCATCATATAGGCTGCTAGTCCTCCTAAAATTTTACATGAGGCTTGTTTAGCAATAGTCAGAGATCTGTGCATACGTAACGGAAATACAGTGCCCATGTGCTCATTTTTAAAAACTGTATTTTTCATTTGATACTGAAATTCGTATTTTGTTTAAATGAAACTGTCTCAGAGCTTTTAGGTTTTGAACTGTCATTGTGGGCTTGAATAGTTAAATCCTGAAGTTTGATTTCTAGAACCTGCTTTATTTCTTGAGGACCAAAACTGGAGGTGTTTTAATGGCCAGTGAGGTAAAAAAAGTGAATTATGTAATTCCCCATTTTTTACTTCGTGTGTTCTTCAAATGCATAAGCAAGAACTGCATGCTTTATTTTGAAGACTACTTATGGTTTTAGGATTGACCACACCCATAGAAGCGAGCATTCCACACTTGGCGTGCATCCTGGGCCATTGTGTGAGCTTGAGCATTTGCCTATCACAGTGTGACGTGCACGCCAGCCTCTCTGACGTCAGCAGCACAGTTTTTCAGAAGCTGTTTGATTTACCTGGGAGGTATTTGTCTTGTGGAGCTGCTGAAGAAACCAGCGTCGAGATTATTATTTTCTTTTCCATAAACTAATAGATGGCTTTAAAAGGATCACGTCCATTAGAAATAATGTCAGCTAATCATTAGTAACAGATGTTTCAGACTTTTAATTATTTTAAAATTAGGTGTTAATTCTGAAATCCTGAATGTTTACTCTTCCCTGCCCTCCGTGTCTGCCTGTCCTTGTCTTAAGAAACCAGATGTTCCTACGCCTCCTCTCTGAATGGGCCGCTTTACAGATGTGCACAGTGAGATTGGGTTGTGACTGCTCTCTGGGACCCCTTCTCTACGGCCTTTGCTAAGCATCTTCTGTCATCTAGTGAGCATCTTCACTTCAGAAGGAGAAGGGTCCGTGACTCCCTGATTGTAAGGATTGCGTTACCATTTTGTGAATCAGAACAAAGTTTAAGTGAAAAAAACTCAAATATTTTCAAATCCATTTTGTTCTTTTCCCCCCAGAACCTCAGTCACTAACAGAGTTCGTGGTGTTCAATAACAGTTGTAAATGATCACTATTTCCAGTATACCCACTAAGTGATAAGACATCAGCCAATACTTTGAACTTCAGTCTTAACTGATTTTCCACCACTCTTCTCTAGTCTAATGTCAATGTCATTCCCATGTAATAGATTGTATGTAATCTCAAGGATGGCTTGTGGGCATGAGTTCTTAGAGAGCTGTCCAAGGGTTGGGAAAATTGTGAACTCTTTTCTGGCTCCAGCACTGAATTTGTACATAAACCTTAGACTAGTTTTTAACCCTTTTTGCTTCAAACAGAATCAACTATAAAGTGCTAATAATCTCCTCAGTTACCTTATCTTTATCACAGGGTTTTCTTTTTTATGAGAAAAAAATTGAAAATGGTAAAAGCTAAGATGCCTTTTAACTTCATAGACAAACCTTTGATCTACATGTAACTAAAGGTCACCCCACACAACAACTCAGTACATTCTTTCCTGTAAACACATAAATATATTTTTATAGAAAAGAGGTACAGGAAATTAAAAAAAAATCTACTGTTCAATGAGCAGTATGATTTGCACATACCATTGAAAATGATAAATCAGAAGAAAATTAAGCAGGGTCTTTGCTATACAAAAGTGTTTTTCACTAATTTTACATGCATGTTTATAAGGAAATGTGAATTTGGTGGATTTATTCTATTGGTGCAAAGGCATCTGATATTTTAGATGTGCCCATGTTTATAAAAGTGTAGAGCACAATGAAATTATGCTGGAAGTCTCAAATGATATTTTTGTTCCTATTTTATATTCATGGAAGAGATAAGCTAAAGAGTGAGCAATGAGAAATGTTGGTGTGTTTTTCTAAACATTTAAACACAATTGCCAATTGAAATCATAAGTATGTTTACATGTCATTAAGATATGATTCTCTTAACAATTCTGAACTGATGATAAAGGGATTGGATTTGTAACTTGTGGTAGTGTATCTCCTAGTGTTCCTATAGTGAAATAAGTAGGGCGGAGCCAAAGCTTGCTTTGTTTTTTATTGGAAAGTGTTGGTAACATCGTCAAAAGAGGTAAAAGAGTAGGCTAAGAAGGTTCCCGAAATACTTTCTGTTTGTTTAGATTAATATTCTTAGTAGTATCTTATTAAAACGTGTTTGTACCGTAGTTGGTGTTTGTATTATGCTTATGGATATGTATGGTTTAAAATATTTTCATTATACATGAAATTCAACTTTCTGAATAAAAGTTCAACTTCATGTACTCTAAAAATGTTTGCATTCTTTTCTATCTGGATGTGAAGAATAAGAACATATGTATCAATCTTCACTCTCATTTCCTCTGGTATTGAAATTAACAAAGTATAAATTAAGTATGCATTAGATGCAAGCATGTATTTTGATTCAAAATTCAAATTCTTGTTTAGGAATAGTCTATTTGATACAATTAATTTTTTTAAAGTTCAATACGCCATTCTATTTTACAGCTATAGATAAAATTTCAGATTTATCTATTTGTGTAAACCCGGTTACTTTTAGAACAATGCAAATGTGGTAATTTTCAAGAAAATGTTGAATAAAGGTAAAAGGAATTTTTTATATATATCTTGATAATTAGGTCCCTCAAACTGCCTCAGCAGACAATCTATTGAAAATCATGAACTTTAAGAGAGAATATAATCTATAATAAGAAATTATCAAGTTAATCAAAACAATCTTAATTTGTTTAAGATACTAGAAACCCCAAACTAAACCAAAATGATAGCAAAAAAGACAAAACAAAGACATTGCCATCGAGGAGGTGCCAACTCTGAGGATGGGGTCTCTGAAGCTGAAAATTTTTATGGGAAAAGATGGCCCGTAGCAGCCATAGACTAAAGCTAGAAACTAAGAACTCTCTGACTTCATAACCCAGGTTTCTAATTATTTCCATATATGCCTAAATTTTACTCATACTTCCACATTCTGTTTTAATTGCTAAGTAAAGGTGAGTTTCAGCCAAAAGCTAACTCATTGATTTAAAAAAAAAATGATTTAGAAATTTCTTGAATTTAAAATACGTGACAATCTCGCTCTCTCTTTTGTTCCCTCTTTCCCTTCAAGTCAGGTCCAGTGCATAGCTGACCCCTTAGTGGGTCTGAGTCTGTAATTACCTTGAATGAGATCCCTCTTCTTTCTCCCTTACAAGAGGACTCAACCAACCAGAGGCGCGTGGACTTTGGGTTAGCCTTGCAAATCCATACATGCTATGAAGCCAGAGTTCTGTGTGAAGACATATAATTAGAAATAAATACCAAATACATATGTAACATGACAAGTTGCTAACTGAAAAGTCATGTTTTCCAACTCTGTAGTCACTCTCTAGGGAATGATGAACACTAACCTCACGTAGATTTATAGCCTCAGAAACCTCATTGACTAAAATTCAAATCAACGCCACAGCAGTGGGTGATGTTACAGAAAATAAATGAATGTATGCAAATAAAATTGTAATAATTTACATGTTTTTAAAATGAACCTCAGATATTTCATCATATCCTACTCCTTTAAAAAGTATCTTTAAAAAGGAATAGAAGTTTCTTCACAGAGTGCCTTCAGAAATAAGTTCCCTGAATATTTTTATTTGGCACTATGCTTTCTT